TTTCCTTATTTAGTAACTGTGGTCTCCATTTTATAACAAAATTATTTCTACTTTTTCAAACTACCCATAATTATTACTCTAATCTATTTTTTAAAATTCTTCAAAAAGCAAGAGCATTATAGTCTTTTACATCCTACTTTATACCCACTTTCAATTAAATACTATTATTCCTTAATTCCCGTGCCAACTCCCAACAAGACATTTATTCCGAGGTGGAGGGAGTATTTATTTATTTTTTTTTAAAAAAAATCATAGTATTAGATATTTATCTCATGTAACACCCTTGTTGATATGAATAAATTGGTTGTTGAAAATAAATGAATAAATTGTTGATATGAATAATCTAATCATAGTCAAGTATATTGATTAACTTAACGTATCAAAACAAGTCGGTCAATTATACTGTAAGAGCAAATATAGTTATCTGTAAAGTTCTTTAAAGTGGATTTTCGAAAAAAAATAAAATTATGCACATTGTTGAGGTTGAAATATTTTTAGATATTAGTTATATTCGGTATGTTTAGATTACAATTTGTTCTTATCCATTATAGATTATGTTGTTTTTTTAATTGGGTCGATTGTTCTATTGTCATGCTTATTTTATGTCTTTATTTCGATGATCAATACAATGCAATTTTTAAGGTTTTTGTAAAATAATTTTAACGGTCGGCATAAGCAGTCTAATGAGTTAATTTAAATTATACTCAATTATGTCCATTTTGCACCATAATGATCCGTCAACCAATACGCCTCACAACTGTCCGATCTACAAGTATAAACTGTCGCAGATTGCCTCTGATATTAACTTTAAAGTTCTGGCACGTAAGCTACATAATAGTAAACTGACCCCACATGTTAACACATATTATTCAACAAACTTTTATCTTTATTCACGTACATTTTATGAAACTTCTCATCGAATCATTCGTTGGAAACTTACGCTAAAACAAACATGTTAATTTTAAAATTATTTAAAATGAGCCCCAAAATAAATATGCACATCCTCTCTCACAAAACACTACTTCAAATATCAAACTCTTTATTAGTATTTCCAAAAAAAGAATTGAAAATTTCCAAATGTTTTTATATAAATAGAGTCTTCATGCTAAATATCATAAATATTTTAAAATTTCTATTTATTTACATTAATATAATTACTCACAAAATATATCACTTATTACTACTTGAATATTATTATTCTTTAATTTCAACATTAAAAAAAAATAACACATACACCTTCCGTTTACTTTTTTTTTCAAGTAAATTTTTGTATTAATATTATAATAAGTTGTAGTGAGAAAGACAAAAATATTTATATTAGTATTGTGTAATATAAAAGTAATGACATTTGTGTAATATAGTGTAAGTTGGAAGGGTATTTATATGTTAGGTAAGTAGTATAACTACTAAATTAGGAAATGATAACTTTGTTTTGGGATAGACGAAAATTTAAAATGATAAAGATCAACATAAAAAAATAATAATAAAATAAATTTAATATATATATAAATTTGAATAAGTTTGACAGATAAAATATACCGTCCCATATAATATGAGCATATTACTATAGATGTAGAAATTTAGGTAAAACATAATTAGTAAATAATTAAAAAGTATAATAGTAAAAATAATTATTGTATAATAAAATAATTATATATTAAGATTAAAATAACTAAATAGTTTAATTATAATTAGAATATTTATAAAATTTAAAATGTAATTAAAGTGTATAATTATATTTCTAAAACATAATGACAAATTATGTAGAACGGATGAACATAAAAAATAGGGACAAATTATGTGAAACGAAAGGTGTATATATATATATCTAAACTGTGTATCTTACGGGCATACTAGTAAGGGTAAACTGTTTTTTTTGTCCCGTAATTGGACCCCTTATCATTTTAGTCCCGTAAGTGGAGTCTGTCGCAAACTAGTCTCATAAGTAAAAAATTTTCGTTGTTTTAGTCCTCCGGCGCTGGAGATGCCTGCGTGGCTCGCCAGAGGTGACGTGTCCGCCAGGTGTCGCTGACCTGGCGGACACGTGGATTTTTTTTATTTTTTTTATTTTTAATTTTTTTTAAAAAAAACTTATTTTTAATTTATTTTAAATTTTATTTGTATTTTTTTATTTGATCCAATTAAAAAAAATTAAAAAAACTAAAAAAATAAATAAATTCACGTGTCCGCTAGGTGTCGCTGACCTGGCGGGACACCTGGCGGACACGTCACCTCCGGCGAGCCACGCGGGCGTTTCCGGTGCCGGAGAACTAAAACAACGAAAATTTCTCCGTCTCCGGTGCCGGAAGACTAAAACAACGAAAATTTTTCACTTATGAGACTAGTTTGGACAGACTCCACTTACAGAACTAAAATGATAAAGGGATCCAATTATGGGACTAAAAAACAGTTTACCTCCGTACAAGTAATAATAATATTATGATGACCGTATATCACTGCTTAATATGATTGAATTTTTTAAATTAAATGATTATTTTAGTCATTCTTGAATTGAATAGGATTTCTTTTTTAATTCAATAGTTTGGATCACAATTATTGGGTGCAATTTAATAATATTGTATGTTCAAAGTTAGACAGTATACTGAAATATACAAATTCAAGTAGTAACAATAATATTATTAATTAAAGGACCCTTTGGACACTACCGTGTTTGTTTTGTATTTTGGTTTGAATTATTTTTTTTTTTTTATGCTAACTATATAAAATTGTATAAATAATATAAAAATAATAAGTATTTTTAATATATTAATTTTTTAAAAAATATATATATATATTGAATTTTTTTTTTGTTAAATATATAAACCAATGGCTCATTAAATTAAATTCTTATTTTTATTTTTATCTTATAATAAAAATTAATTTTATCCATAATATATTAAATAAAACCTAAATTATATTGAATTAAATAAATATGCAATTTAAAATATCAAATTCAACTCTAAAATCTACAAGCATACTCCACCCCATAAAGCTTTCATCTCTGCTCCATGTGAGCATCATACAACAAAAAATAAAATAAAATAAAATAAATTTAGAATATCTCTTGAGATCTCCAAAAAGATATTTTTGATGTATTTATTTGTTAAGTTTTAGTTTTAAATTAATATTTCAAATAGTAAAATTCTAAATTGAAATAGATAAGATAAAATTATGAGATATTGTACTATTTTGAATGTAATATTATCCAAATACAAAAATAAATATTTTATTTTTTAAAATAAATTAAAAATAGTAAAATCAAAACAAAAACCTTACAACAAACAGCCAACATTATTTTTTTATTTTTGTATATATCTACTTTACTTATATTTGATCTTTTATATAATAATATAAACATTAATATTTTTTAATTATATTTGGTCAATATCATTGATGGAGATTACCTAAATATTTAAAAATATGATAAAATGAAGAAATCAGTTGATGCAATGAAATGACTTGTCATAATTTTTCTTGATCTATCATTTTATTGTGAAAGTTTATTATTAGCAGACTATCAGTTTTTTATTTTAGTCCATCCCATAATAAAGTATTTATTTATTTTTTTAAGTAACTGTACTATCTACCTTTTACAAATACCTTTGCAATTTACAATATATTACACAAATGTCGTTATCTTTATATCACACAATACTAATAAAGTTATTTTAGTCGCTTTTACTTTATTTTTACTATACCTCAATATAATACTAATACTTATAAAATTACATAAAAAAGCAAACAAATATTTAATTATGAGACGGATAGAATATTATTATTTGCAGGTTTTTAATAAAAATATAATAGAATTTGTTCGCTTTGTTAATTTCTCGATCTTTTTATTAATCAAACTCTCAAAATTCTCCATAAAATAAACTATTTTTTAATATTATATTAAAATACTATTTAAATAAAATTTAGGTTGTGTTTATCTGAATTTTAATTTGGAGTTTTTTTACTACTATCTTCGTCCTATTTTTTATTTTTGTCCGTCCCCAAAAAGATACAGTTTAGTAATTGTACTACCCACCTAATACAATTAATATTCTTATAATTTCCAATATATTACACAAATATCATTATTTTTTGTCACACAATCTAATAGGGGCAATTTTGTTTTGTCCACTATAAATAAATATAATACTAATTAAAAATCTACTTGCAAAAAACAAATATTACTCTTTTTGGGGGACGGAAATAGTATTATTAATTTTTTTCCTTAAAAAAATACTCCAATCAGTCCAATTTCTTTTATTCTAAAATATATTTGCACGATTTTTTCTGATAATTATCTTTTGGTTATGAATGAACAGATTTACCAGTTTTGTAATTAGAAATTAAAAATAATAAATGAATTAAGGATAAAAAATAAAGTTATGTATAAAAAAAGGATAATAATCATTTGATCGTTTCAAATAAAAATATAGAACATTAATTTTTCGATGAGAAAAGTAAAATATTAATTTTTAATTTTAATATTATATAAAAAATTACTCATTTCGTCTCGTATAATTTGTCTCTCTTTTCTATTTTGTCTGTCCCATATAATTTGTCATTTTCTATTTTGAAAAACTGATTATACATTATAATTATATTTTCAAATTTCAAACTTATAATTTTTTTAATTTTAATTAAATTATTTAGTTATTTTAATTTTAATTTATAATTATTTTTACTAAATAATAATAATTTTTATTATTATATTTTTTAATTATTTATTAATTATACTTTATATAAATTTTCGGATTTAATATAGGAGTGATGGAGTAATTTAGACTTACGCCTCCAAAATGAAGGAAACTGAACCGAGTAAAAATACAAAACCAAAACAAACACGCCTTAGATCAAATCAACGGCCACGATTCATCCTCTAGCAATGCACCACACACAGGCTATAATTTCCCATTGCCCATAAAGTCAATGGACAGCAGTGCACACTGCACACCCAACCCTCCAAGTTTTGCCCTAATTTTTTTTCCCTTATAAATACAAGAACCTCTCCCAACTTTCCTTACCCAAAATAAATCCACAAATTTTAAAACACATAAATAAAATATAAATATATACCATTTTATTTATTTACACATATATATATATATTTTTAATTGAAAAATTTTTTCTACAGAAAAGAAGAAATGGAGAAAGATGAATTTGGTTCAGAGAAAAAAGAAGAACCAAATTACAGAGGGATCAAAGCCATGCCTTATATCATAGGTAATTAATAAACTTGTGCATTTTCCTACGGTTATCACTGTACAGTTCCTTGCAATTAGTATTGTAGGAATACAATGACTTTGTTTCCTTATAAGATTTTCTCTCTTATTTACTATTTTTTTTTTAAAAAAAAATTAAATTAAACACTTATTTTTTAATTTATTTTATTATATTAAAATACAATATTTCTAAATCGCATTTTCATGTTTGATCAACTCGATCGAATTTCAGGTAACGAGACGTTCGAAAAGCTCGGCACGATCGGCACGGCGTCAAACCTCCTCGTGTACTTGACGACGGTGTTCAATATGAACTCGATCACGGCGACCAACGTGCTTAACATATTTAATGGGACGTGTAATATCGGGGCTATGATTGGGGCTTTTCTTTGCGACACTTATCTCGGTCGCTATACAACAATCGGCATCGCCTCCGTCTCGTCGTTTCTAGTAATTTTTTCGTTAATTTTTTTTTTTTTTATAATTTTATCTCTTATAAAATAGACTATTTAAATATGCGAATGTGTTTATAAAGTATAGCATTTAATACCTATTTTTATTTAATTTCTTTTTTCTAAAATTACAAGGAAAAAACTTATAAAAAAAAAAAAGAGCATTACATTATTTTTCTAATAAGAAAAATTATGTTTTTTCTTTTTAGTTTTTCTGTGATAATAATATGCTTACAATAAAATAGTTGACTACTTCACTTTTATAAGAAATTGGTTTGAACAGGTAAAGATTTAAATTTTTATTTAAATAGTATTTTTAATATAATATTTGAATTTTTAATTGTAATTTAATATCATACCCAAACAGATAAATTCAAAGGTAAGTTAATTTTTTCTTTGTTCAATTAAATTTAATTTTCCGTCATGCAATTTTTGTAATTTTCAATAATAACATACTCCCTTCCTCCTTTTAAAAGAGATCCGTTGAAGTTTTGTAATAAATTATAAATAATAATATTTTATTATTTAGTCAAAGTATGTAAGAGATTTTATATTCTTACACTTTGATTTTTGTACAAAATAATTGTATATATAATGATATGTTTGTAATTGAGATAAAATTTAAATGTATTTTAGTGTATACTTATTTAATTTAAAAAAATATTTTTGAGTGAAACAGATGAAAATAATAAAAAAATACTTTGAATTATGACGGGTGAAATATTATTTATCTTATAAAACACATATAAAAACAAGTTATTCATTAATGACAGGGAATGCTGGCGATCACATTAACGGCCGCTATTCCGACTCTACACCCGCCGTCATGTACGTCCGAACCTAACGCCACTTGCTCTGGGCCTTCACCAGGGCAATTAACGGTACTATTCACTGGGTTCGTATTACTCGTAATCGGTGCGAGCGGGATCCGACCGTGCAATTTACCGTTCGGGGTCGACCAATTCAACCCAAACACAGAATCGGGAAAGAAGGGCGCAACGAGCTTCTTCAATTGGTATCATTGAAATATTTTAAATATTCAGTTTTAGAAATAAATTAGGAAAGTAGAAAATTGCATTTATTCATTATAAAAATAGAGATCTATAAAATAGACAATAATGAGTTCAATCACCCTATCTCTAATGTATTGCGTTCTTTCTATACCGACCATCACCAACCTCCGTGTGTATTTAAATTTTTTATTTTATTAATCTTTTTTTTTTTAAAAAAATACACATGGTAATTGATGATTGGTCGGTGTAAGAGGACTACAATACATTAAAGGTAAAGTAACCGAATCCTAGACATAATATACAGATTCGATAGACTAAAATTTAAATAAAATAAGACGAAATCTAAAGCTAAATCTACTAAATCTTAAATATCTCAACAGGTATTATTTCACGTACACATTTGCGATGATGGCGTCGTTGACTGTAATCGTTTACGTGCAATCGAATCTCAATTGGGCCATCGGGTTAGGAATCCCGGCGTTCCTTATGTTCTTGTCGTGCACTTTTTTCTTCGTCGGGACTCGAATTTATGTGAAGGTTCGGCCGGAGGGTAGCCCAATTACAAGTTTGGTACAAACTCTAGTTGTAGCTTTTAAGAAGAGGAAGCTAAGGTTGTCCCAACACCCAACAAAGTCTTTGTTTAATCACATTCCCATTGGAACCATTAACGCAAAGCTTGGTTACACTGAACAACTAAGGTTAGTATTGATTTTTATTTATTTATTAATTTTCACACTATGATTTAATATAAATATATATATATATATATATATTCTCTACACTTGGTCATTTTTCAGGTGAATTTGTTATTTTCTGTAAAGATGAAGAATTACGTCGATAATATCAAAAAAAAATTATGTTTAAAAATTAATTTTTATTAATAGATAAAATGTATATATATATTATATTGAGTTAAAGCGTGTAATATTCATGAAGTATTATTCCACCTAATAACAAAATGTGAACAAATCCTCCATATTTCATTTCAATATATATATATATATATTGTTTATTTTTTTTCTTTTCTATTATCCTCTCCGTTCCAAATAAATGGTCCATTTTTTCTATCTTGATTCGGTTTATATAATTTGTTTTTTTTTTTTAATTTATTTGTCTACTATAAAAAAAATAAACTTATATATTTAACTAAGAAGAAAGAAGTGTTTTAAAATAATTATTTTAAAATTTATATTGTTTGTGTTTTGGTTTGAAATTGATTTGAAATGAAATATTGATTTAAGTTTTGTTTGAATAGTATTTTGATAAGATATTTATGTGAAAGAATGATGTATCTTTATTAAAAATTATGTAAAATGAATAATATTAATTTCTATTTTAAAAACTATAGCCAAACACGTTATATTTTGAAATTAATATAATTTAGAATTGAAATATGTGTATGATACTTATTACATAAAGAGCTATTTGATTTAATATTTTAAATTAAATAAAATTAAATAAATACATAATATATTAAATAAAATATGTTTGCAATTCCTTCTAATTTGAGTTGTTTTATAATTTTTTTTATATACATCTTTTTTACCATTCTAACATAATTAATAAAATAGTTTGAAATAAAATTTTAAAAAATAAATAAATAATATATATAATCAAAATGGAGGCAAAAGTGGTAAAGGTGTGTTTTTTTTTTTTTTTTTTTACATTAAATCTTCATTATTTAGATTTTATGATTCTAAAAAAATAAATATATATTTTTTATTAAAATATTATTTAAATTAAAATTCTAAAGATCCAAATAAATTAGGAAACACACAATAAATAAATTAATTGGCCTATGGGTCCGAAGACTAATGCCAAATTAAATTATTAGGTTTGTGTGGATGTGATATCTTATCTATAATATTTTTTTAAAAAAATATATCATATAAATAATTTATTCTTATTTTAAAATTTATTATTTATAAACAAACCCATTAATTTAAACCATATATATATGTGAAATCATTAAATTTCTTTTTAATGAAACCGTTGAAAATTAATAGTTCGATCATTTGATGTTGATATTTTAGGGTATGTTCATCACTATGCAATAATTGATGAATATTAAAAAAAATATACAAAATATATAAACATATTTACTCAATATAAATATGATATATTTATGCAAAAATATGAAATAATTTGTTGTAAGAATATTTATTTTTACTAAATATGAAGGGTTTATTTAGTTTTGGAATGAATTTTTTATTTAAAATCTTGTTTAAATATTATATTAAGTATGATATTTTACCAAAAAAATGTAATTAATTTCTTTATTTAAATTTAAATAATATTTTATAAAAAATATATATATATTTTTACTAAAAATTGTAAATACTAGATCCCAATTCTTTTTTATTTGAAACATAAAATAAACAAACCCTATATAAATGATAAAATGAAAAAGCCTATCTACCATTTTTTTTCCCTTAATTTTAGTATCTATTCTATTGACATATTCTAATAGGAAATGAATACATATTATATTTTATATTTTATAACACAACATATATTATATTTTAGTATAACATATTTATGATACAATATATATTATGTTATAATTCAAAATATAATATTTTATAATACAACATATATTGTGTTATAAAAATATATTTTATGATATATGTATTTATGTGATAAGCTGACGAATCAAATCAGTTAGAGTTAGTACCTAATCAGCCGCTAAAAGTAAATTAATGAGTATGACATTTATAATAGTTAAATAAATTATCTTTTCGTCTTATTTAATTTCTTAATTCTTTATAATTTTGTTTGTTTAATATAATTTATCATTTTTTTTAAAAAAAATATAATTATACACGTTAATCACATTTTAAAATTCATAAATTATATTTTTTTATTATTTTAATTAAACTATTTAATCATCTTAATTTAAATTTATAAATTTTTTATTAAACTATAATTTTTTTACTAATATACTTCTTAATTACTTACTAATTATCCAATACTTAAAACTTCGTATCTAAATTAAATGAAATAATTTAAGTAGGACCGATGAATAATATAAATTTATAATATATGACATTTAATTTTTTAGTTCGATTTGACTTTGAAGATTCTAAGGGTGAGTCTATTTTGTATTTTGATTCGAACAATTTTTTTTAATATAAAATATAGAAAAATGTGTAGATAATATAAAATAATGAATGTGTTTAGTATAATAATTATTTGTAAGGAAATATATTGAACAATTTTTTTAATATAAAATATAAAAAATTGTATAAATAATATAAAATAATGAATGTGTTTAGTATAATAATTTTTTTTAAGGAAATATATTGAAAAAATTTGGTTGAAGAAATGAACCATAATTTTTTATTAATTACATAAATATTATTTCCGTTCTTTAATACGCTATCAATTTTTTCATTTTGGTCCGTTCCATATAAAAATATCCAGTAATTGTACTATATATATATATCTAATATTATAAATACTCTTTCAATTTACAATATATTACAATATCGTTACTTTTATATCTCAATATAATAGTACTCACTCCGTCCCACATAATTTGTCTCTATTTTTTATTTTCATCCTAACTACATAACTTGTCATTTCTATTTTTGAAAATATAATTATGCACTTTAATCGCATTTTAAATTTTATAATTTTTTTAATTTTAATTAAACTATTTAATTATTTTAATATTAATCTATAATTATTTTTACGAAATAATAATTATTTTTATTAATAAATTTCTTAATTACTTACTAATTATATTTTACTTAAATTCTCGTATCTACAATAATACATCCATGTTACATAGGACGGACCGACGGAGGGAGTAATACTTCTAAGTTCCGTAAAAAAACGAATATATAGAAGGAGTATTTAATGTGAAATTTTATATAAAAAAATAAAACTAAAAGGAAATTAGTGTGCACGTGCAGGTTTCTCGACAAGGCCGCCGTCCAGACGGAGGAGGATCTAACAAATTCCGACGGCTCCGCCGCCGATCCATGGCGGCTGCGCACGATGCAGCAAGTCGAAGAGCTAAAATGCATTCTCCGATTGGTTCCCATATGGATCGCCGCCATCATTTACTACATCGTCCTCGCCCAGCTCCAAAACTACGTCGTTTTCCAAGCAATTCAGGCCGACCGTACAATCGCCGGCGGCCGCTTCACCATCCCCGCCGCCTCCTACAACGTCTTCACCTTCCTAACCCTAACCCTCTGGATTCCGATCTACGACCGCTTCCTAATCCCCGTTCTCCGGCGACTTTCCGGCAAGCCAGAGGGAATCTCAATTCTTCAGCGGATCGGCGCCGGAATATTCCTCGGTATCGTCACAATGGCCTTGTCGGGATTGGTGGAGGAACGGCGGCGGGCGGTGGCAATTAGCCGCCCGACAATTGGACACGTGGCGAGAAAAGGCGAGATTTCGGCAATGTCAGCGAATTGGCTGATTCCGCAGCTTGTCGCTGGCGGGCTGTCGGAAGGGTTCGCCATTATCGGATTTATCGAGCTTTTTTACAAGCAATTCCCGGAGAATATGCGGAGTTTGGGGTCGGCGTTTTTGATGTGCGGGTATGCGATTTCGAGCTATTTGAGCAGCTTTATGGCGACGGTCGTGCACGAAAAGACGTCGGTGAATAAGACGAGTAATTGGTTGTCGGAAGATCTTAATAAGGGGAGATTGGATTATTTTTATTACCTTATTGGGGGGGTCGAGCTTTTGAACTTATCGTATTTTGTGGTGTGCGCTAAATGGTATAAGTATAGGGAAGATGGCGGGAAAGATAATGATGGCAGAAAAATTGAATCTTTTAAGGAAAGGGTTTGATTTGAATCGAAAAATCGATTTATTTTAGAATAGCGATTAGAATGTGATATTGTTCGAGAAAAATGCATAAGAAAGTAAGTGTATGTTGTTAAGTAGATTAAGGATTATTGATATAATAGCTTATGTATAATACAAGATTGTGAGAGTATTGATTCAATATGTTGTAAAATAAGATAATCGTATGTTAGTAATTCTAAGTAAAATATATTATCGTATCATAAATTATGTATTTGTTAAATTTAAAACTATATTTAGTTTGTAATTGTTTATCATGATTTATTGTCATCTCTAAATATAATAAATATTTAAACAAATTTGACCACAAAAGATATAAATAGTTCGCAAATGTTCATCGGCCGAAGGTTTAACCAATGCACATTTTCGGATAGCGACAAATTAATTCTCAAGTTATTAAAGAAAAAAATGTAAGATATGCCAAAATAAGAATGTGTATAACACTCCAAATAACCAAACATTAGTTTGTCTTTGGCTAATGTTTTTTTATTCCATATTTGCTTTAAATACTAATTTAATATAATATTTTATATAAAAATAGTACTTTCTACGTCACATTTATCTTTTGCGTCTTTGTAATTAACATTAAAAATATTTTTATATTTGTATATATTTTTTTGTATAAATATTTTTTTATTAGTATTATAAGACATTAACACATTGATGAAAGTATTTTTGTATTTTTTTAAAAAAAAATTAGAATATGTTTTGATATAATAAATACTATTCAAATATTAATACGAAAAAAAAAGTAAACGAGATCTTAGAATAAGACGAACTGAAATTATGTGAACTAAATATTAAAAATTTGGTTTAAACTTAAAACCAAATAAATCAAAGGGTTTTTTTTTTTTTTTTTTTTATCTTTTCAAATCAAAATCAATACTATTCGTTTAACACAGTTTTTAATAAAAATACATAATTTTTTTATAAATATTATATCAAAATATTATTTAAATAAAAAATTGAATCATTTCAGATCAATTTCAAACTACACCCAAATACATATTTGTATACAATGCATTTTAAAAGTTGGATTCTTTGTTTGGGCTTAGAATAAAATGCTGGCCTAAAGTAACTTGAACTTTCATTAATTTATACCACAATATTGACACTCAAAAGCTAAAACTTTATAATGTTTTAATATAAAATTGTAATATAAAATTGAGGTAAGTAAAAAGTAAATATATAATATTATATGAAATTTATTAAAAATTAGTAATAAAATAATAGAGAAATAGAAAAAAGATAGTGACAAACACACCCAATTTCAATACTATATATATATATACACAATGTTAGCCACACATAGGGTTGGCGATGGGTCTAATTCTTTCGGACCCGAGACCCGAATACACACGGTTGGAAAATACACGGTTGGATCGAGATTCGAATCGAACTCAATTATATTCGGATCTGATCATACTTGAATCCGATCCGAACAATATTCGATAGATTTGACATACCTAAATTTTTTTTTACAATTTTTAAATTTTAACTTAAAAAAATAAGACTCGAGCGGAATCCGATATATATTAAAAATTATATATTTTATTTAAAAATATTATAATAAAGTAATAAAAATCAATAAATAAAACCAAAAATATATTTTTAATATAATTTATATTACTAAAAACTATTTATATATATATAATTAATATATTAATCGAGTCTAGGTAGAGTTCATTCTTAGAGCTGAGAAGAGTACACACCGACCCAGAATCCGAATTCGAATAATTAAACTCAATCCTAAATAACTGGGCTGGATCTTGGACTACTCGACCCACTGCCATCCCTAGCCACACAATGTCAAAGTGGTAGTACATATAATGAATTATGTAATTCACTAATATTAGTCATTAGATGTTTGGTTAACCTAATTGCAATAATTCAGAGTAAGGTGTGTTTGTTTGAGAGTTTGGATTTTGAGTTGAGATTTGAATAGTAAAAATTTTGAATTTGAATAGCTGTATGATGTGATATAAATAGGTGTTGATGTGATGTTTTGAACGTAAATTGATTTTTAGTATAATATAAAAAATAAAAAATATGTATTTGATTAGATGTATTCGAGGGAAAAAAATGGGATGAACAGTGTATTTAAAATTCAATCTTCCAAACAAACACATGTTTGAAGGATTTTGGGGGAAATTCACTATTCTCACAAAATTTTTTCCTCAAAAATATCAAATCAAACACCTATTTTTTATTTTTTATATTATACTAAAAATCAAATTTATATTTAAAATATCATATCAATAGTTATCTATATCACGTCATATAATTATTCTAATTCAAATTTTTTACTATTTAAATCTCAATCCAAAATCCAACCCCCGAAACAAACACACCCTCTATAGACTTGTTTTGTGTACCATAAAAATTCTTATATCAATGACTAATGTTAATTTAGGGTTAATTTGATTCATATCTTTACTTGAATTTTCGACCATATTTTTACAATATATTATCATTAAAGAAGAAAAAAAAATCCTCCAAATTTGGGTTGTTTGATTGGATTTTGAGTTTAAATTTCTAATTTAAATTATGATTTAAATATTATTTTAATATAATCGATGATTTAAGCTTGAAGCTCATTTACACCTCCTATTTTTGTTAATACTATATTAAAGTATAACTTCTTATTTAAAATATTTAAAATATAAATATTTATTTTTCATTTAAAAATGATATTCGATGCATAAATAATTGTCCATTCGTACCACTTCAATGCATCTTTTTAGAGTTTTGTAGTAAATTAAAAAATAATACTCCATCCGTTCAAGCAAAAAATATACATTTATTTTTAGTGCATAGTAGGTAGGTAAAAGTAGTGTAATGACATTTGTGCCCTTACTTTTTTGGTATAAAAATAATGATGTAATGTAAAGTAGAGGTATTTGGAAAAATAGAGTATTTAATGAAATATTTACTTTGTAATTGGACGTCCCAAAATAGAAATATGTATACTTTCTAACTGGACTGAGGAAGTAGTATTTTTTGGAAGTATATAAGAAATTTTTGATATTTTTATATTTTGACTTTATGTATAAAATAATTATACATATAATTAAATATTTGTAATTTAAATAAAAAAAATATTTTAATATTAATGTATAATTATTTTTTTTTAAGAAAACTGCGTGAAATTGATGGTTGGACAAGTCTTTCAAAGAATGTATATAATGCAGAAATGTTGTATAGTATCCAATTATATATATATATTTTTTAAAATTAAACTTTTTAAAAATAAGATACTCTCTCCGTCCTAATACAACAGTGAATAAGATACTCTTTTCGCCCTAATACAACAGTGATGTTTATCATTTTTTTTTTTCATTTTAAAACAATAGTTTCATTTTCATAAATAATTATATCACTATAAAACTACTCATACTTTTTTATTATTATTACACAATGCCACTATTTTTTACACTAATACACTCACAAGGCAAAAAAGTCTTTTACGAATACTTTTTATCTACTACTAATATAATATTAATATTTTTTAAATTTTGTGCCAAACACAACCCATCCTATAGTTTTGAGAATAAGAGAGTATTCATTTAACAAATACTCCCTCCGTCTCAAATACCGTGCAACATTTCATTTTTGGTATGTCCCAAATACCCTGCAATATTTTTAAATTAGGAAATAATTAATTATATTTAATCTATATCCCCATACTTTATCTCATCACATCCCTCCAATAAAAAAAATATAATATACACTTCTCTTTCCATCATATCACCTAATTACTCAATTATCCTATTTAATACTTCTCACCTAAAATTTTGTGCCAAATTTAAATGTAGCACATTATTTAGGACAGAGAGAGTATATAAAAGCAAAATCATGTGAAATTGACGGTGATTCATAATCATGGCTTGGACCACCACTTGTATATTACTAGGGTGTCATTTTGGTGGAGTGTTTTTGGTCCTGAATTTATACATTTTATTTTATTTTAATTTGCAAATATAAATTTTTAATATGATTAAATCTAAAATAATTGATTAGATATGAATCTAAGGTGGGTTTAATTTATATTTCATATTAAAGTTACAACTATTCGCTATTCAATCCGTAAAATTATCAGTAGAAATATATTATCTTTCTTATAATATATCAAATAAAAAATACTATTGAAATCAAAATTCAAATATCAAGCATACTACTCTTTTTTGTCTGGATCTGATAGTCTCATTTACCTTGCGCTATTGTATTTAATACTCCCTCCGTCTAATTAGAAAGTATACATATTTCTATTTTGTAATGTCCAATTACAAAGTAACTATTTCATTAAATACCTCATTTTTCCACAAATATCTCTACTTTACATCACATCATTACTTTTATATCAAAAAAGTAAAGGCAAAAATATCATTTTACTACTTTTACCTACCCACTATAATTAAAATACTATTATTCTTTAATCTCCGTGCCAAAAGTAATTGTATACTTTTAGCTTGGACGGAGTGAGTATTAAAAATATTTTTATATTTATATAATTTTTTGCATAAATATCATTATAATAATATTATAAGACACTAATAGAAATATTTTTGTCGTTTTCATTTAATTTGTACTATATTTTTATATAATAATTAATACTTCTATTTAAAGATCAACATGTAAAAAGTAAATGAGACCGTTAGAGGTAGAAAGTGTATTAAAGTTCCAAATTGCAAGCACTTGAAAGAAAGAGTTAAAAACTCGATTAACAATCAATAAGGCATCAATAGAAAGCAAATTTGGTATTCTCAATGATGACATACCCAAAACAAATACATGGCCAACATTGGTAAATACATACTTCATCCTCCAGCTCTAAGGGTCTTTTATTTACGTTTGCGTCATTTTATTTAACATTAAAAATATTTTCGGTTTTGAGGGTCTTTTATTTACATTTGCGTCATTGTACTGAACATTAAAAATATTCTTATATTTGTATAATATTTTTACACATATGTCATTATAGTAATATTATAAGATACTAATAAAAGTATTTTGATCATTTTTCTTTGATTTGTACTATATTTTTATATAATAACAAACATTCAAGATCAACACGCAAAAAATAAATGAGATTTTTAGAGCCGAACAAAAATATTATTTAATAATAAATATATTATTGATAAATACATCATTTTTTTTTTTCAAAAAATATGTATAAACAGTAATTTAGTGATTTTATTGACTTAAAAAATAAAAATTAATGTGTTTCTTTAGGGCAGGTTGAGGAAAGTTGAGTTTGAATTTGATTTTTATTTGAATTTTGGGATTAGTTTGAATCTTGTTGTTTCTTTTGTGTTTGGATTTGGTTAGAGTTTAGGGAGCTTTGATGTGTATTGATTCGATGGATAATAAATAAAATAATATAAATATGTATTAAATTTAATTGATAAAATTTATATTGTATGATTTGATTATGAATTTATATTATACCCAACATATATATATTCAAATTTTTATTTATTTGTATCATAAAATTTTTTATTCTTTTATCAAATGATATATATTGTATATATATATTTTTCATTTAATTATAATAAATATTAAAAAAATTAAATTAAAAAAAAAACAGAAAAAAAAAGAAGTTCGGCGCCAATTTTACTGTTCATAACTGTACAGTGAAATTGTGCCAAAATACCTTGGGGAAACATACAAGAAACATCCCATCTTTCATTCTTTTTTAATAGTAAAAATTTTGTTTCAATTTTTTAGAGTAGATTTTTTTTTGGTAAGTTTTTCTTCTATTTTTACTATTTAAATTTCAAATTTAAAATTTAAACCTCCGAACAAACACTCCTAAATCATCTTAATCTAATCACAAAAAAAAAAAAAAAACTTTTTAGAAGTCGTAGCTTTGGCTTTTAGATTAATTGTATCGTACTACATTGCTAATAATTAATCTCGTATTTTAATTTTAATTTTAATTTTAATTGTTGTATAAACAATTTTTTTTTTTTTAAAAAAAAATATTTCTCCAATTATATTCAGGGACAGATGCTCGAAAAAATTAATTTTCAATTCCTATTTTTGTTTTGAAATTTTGATAGGAATATATTTTTTTGAATTTCCTCGAATACTATTTTGCAATATTCCGTATAATATATTATATACTAAAATTAATTATTTCTGGATCGATTTCGAAAAAGAAAAAATCCTAAAATTTCATAGCATAACTATAACAAAAGAATTATATTAAAGTAAATCTTAGTAATAAAATTTTAATATATAAAAAAGGAAATGAACATTTTAATCTTATACAATCTATTCACTTCCACACCATATTCAAGGTCGGAGATTTAGCCAGAGCGTATTCGGTAAGTAGCGGCGAATTTTTACATTATTGAAAAATTCTATATATAATTATAACTACAATAATTATTCTATAGAAAAATTATCTGTCCACAAATTAATGTCATACTTTCCTATTTATAACGTTCAACAACTATTGTCCTATTTTATTTTTTTAAACACAAATTTTACATTTTACCTTTTATTTATTTATTTATTTTAATCTCTATCATACACTTAAGGATAAATTTGTTTATTAATAACAAAAATATAATCACTTAAAAAATCGTACAAATATATTTTATAATAATAGAAATTGGACGGAGATGGTACATAACAAAAAAAATAAAAAATTAAAAAATTGTACGGACTTATGAGTTATGACTTATGTGTTAAAGAAATTAATGAAATTTATACCCCCGAGCCATTAATATTATTATTATTATTATTATTTTGAAGAAGGACGAGGACCCTTCTAATGAAATTTATTTTATACTCCAGATTCTGATCCCGTCACGTTATTTTATTTATTACAGTAAGCGACACAGGGAATATTCTTCCCCACTCACGGCTAATGTGCACCGTCGATTTAGTGTGGGCCCCACCCACCAAAGATGAACGGACTAGATTGTTCCTGGATTTAAGGTCCATGCCTGGTCGGCGCTATCAGGTTACCCAGGTTCTCGGAGGAACCTAGGACCGTGCACCAGAAAGATCCATACCGTTGAAAGAATCGTGTGACTGAGATGAGTGGTATGGATTTATCTGCCCTTGGAGATCCAGGGAGCTTCCGAGAAGGAATAAGAGGCAACTAATGTGAATAAAAGCGTTCTCATCGTCGGGTAAAATTAAAAAAAAAAAAAAAATTAAATATACAATAGGTAAAATAAATTAGCACAATGAATATGTAAATAAATAAAAATTATGTAATTATTTAAAAATAAGAAATATATGTAGAATATTCTTTCTATTGAAAAAAATAGTGTGTTCGAGTTGAGTTAAAATTTAGAAGAAAATTTGGAAGAAAAATTTAGAGAAAATGGCCGAATCTGTTGGAGATGGTCTCAATAACCAAAATTTTAAAAATTTATACTACATTCATTATTTTTATATTATCTAAACATTTCTTATATTTTATATAACTATTTTTTTTTTCACATTAAAACACAAAACAAACACGCCCTAAAGATATCATACCCGATATATTTTAATTTATTTTTATTTACAATAAGATATTCTTTAAATATAAAAAATTTTGAAAAACATTCTCATCAGCTAACCACCAACAAGCCCAGATACCTTCTTCAATTTTATGTTAGAATAATGATTAATGTTGCATTAAGCTTTCGGAGTCTTATTTTTTTTAATAATTAAAAAATTATTTTTTAATGCAATATTTCATAATACAAAAAATATATATAATTTGATTTTTTTTTTATTTTTTAAATATCATTAATGAATAATACAAAAGATTTCAAATGTCTCTATATAAATAGAATTGTGTTTAGCTTGAGTTTCAAACTCATATTATCACTATTTTTAATAATAATATTTTATTTTAATTTCAAATAGTGTAATATTTGATTTAAAAACGAGAATTTAAATTAATAGTATTAAGTAGAATAATTTAAAAATAAGATGATGCAATGAAAATGGAAAGTGTATATTTATTTTTTTATTGAATGGTGTAATAAAATAAAACGTAGTGTAAGAATTTATATAGTTAATTATTTTTATTTTTAAAATATTGTAAAGTGTTTACAACGGACAAAAAAAAAAATTACAAAAATATTTGTTAGAAAGAATTATTATTTTCTTTTATAAAATGCTTTCACCGTGTCATTTAATTTTTCATTTTTGTTTGTTCATTTATTTTGTCACTTTCTTTTATTTTAAAAAAAAATAATACTTCCTTCGTGCACTTACAATGTTTACATATTTTTATTTTGGGATGTTCAATTACAAAGTTAATATTTCATTAAATACCTTATTTTTTTTTTCCACAAATACCCTTACTTTACATCACATCATTATTTTTACACAAAAAGTAAGGGCAAAAATGTCATTACATACTTTTAACTACTCTTAAATACCGCGCCAAAAGTAAATATAAACATTATAAGTGGACGGAGGGAGTATATTTTAATCTTATTTTAAATTCTTTAATTTTAATTAAACTAATTATTTATTTTAATCTTAATACATAATTATTTTTATTATACTACTATTTTTTTTAAAAAATATTCTTAATTATTTAGTAATTATGTCTCTCATAAATTGATGTGTCTATCAAATTAAAATACTCCCTTCATTCCTTATCTATTTATCTTTTTATTTTTTACATGGAGCTTTATGAATATCAATATTGCATTGGAGTATGGTACAAATAAAATAAAATTTTTTTTTATTAGTATTGTTTGATATAAATGTAAAAATATTTTTAATATCAGTAGAAAATACAATTACTAAAAAAAAATAGATATTTTGATATAAAACGGAACAAAATAAAAAAATAAATATATTATTAAGTGACTGAGAAAATATTACTATTTAAATAAAAAAATCCAAATAAAACTCTCAATCTCAACTCAAAATGAAACAAACCTTTTTTTATGAAAAAAAAAAGAGAAAAAAAAAGAAAAAAAAAGAAGCCTTATCCCCTCCCATGGGAGCTTGCAACACAACACACCCAATCCTTTAATCCAACGGCTACAAATAAATCTTACTCGCCACACCAATCTTCCACCGTCCATTGCTCTCTGCAGCACAAGGTAACAACAAGGCTATATATATATATATATATGGACGTGAACATATTATAATATATATACTTATATATATCTGTCTCTGTGCGTTGCAATCCACTGGTTCACTGTCAATTTGCTCAGGTACACGTCACTGCTGTTCGAGAACAGGAGTCATGGAGGCGAAGGAGGAAACCGCCATGGAAAGCGAAGCCGACGAGCCTGAAATCAACTACAGAGGAATCAAAGCCATGCCTTACATCATCGGTAACTAATTCTCTGAAGCTTTTCCACTTCTGATGGATTGATAATTTTTGAGTGAAATCAGTAATTAAAGCGATTGATCGATCTGCAGGAAATGAGACATTCGAGAAGCTTGGAGCTATTGGTACGCTCTTCAATCTCCAAGTGTATTTAACTACAGTGTTCAATATGAAGCGCATCTCCGCTACCACTCTCCTCAACGTCTTCCATGGCACAACGAATTTCGCTACCTTAATCGGAGCGTATCTCTGCGACACCTACTTCGGACGGTACAACACTCTCGGATTCGGATCCGTTGCTTCCTTCCTGGTAATTTTAATTGAGTTTTGGTCGTTTTTGTAGTCGAAATTGAGGAAATCGTGGAGAAATGTTGAATCGTAAATCGTTAATTTGAGTGGAATTAGGGATTGTTGGTGATTACTCTGACAGCTGCTTTCAAAAATATGCATCCGCCGCATTGCGGAGCGGCGGATGAGCGGTGCGTCGGACCGACGGCGGCGCAAATGGCGTTTCTCCTGTTCGGATTTGGACTGATGATCCTCGGCGCCGGCGCGATTAGACCGTGCAATCTGGCGTTCGGTGCAGATCAATTCAATCCGAAAACAGAATCTGGAAAGAGAGGAATCGACAGTTTCTTCAACTGGTATTTCTTCACGCTGACGTTCGCGCAGCTCGTGTCGGTAACCGCCGTCGTTTACGTGCAGTCCGACGTCAGCTGGCCGATCGGATTTGCGATTCCGACGGCATTTATGTTGATATCGTGTTTCCTCTTCTTTATGGGAACAAAAATCTATGTGATTGTTAAGCCTGAGGGAAGTCCTTTGACGAGTCTACTGCAGGTGCTGGTTGTCGCCGCCAGGAAGCGGCGGCTGAAGTCGCCGGCGCAGCCGTGGCTCAGCCTCTACAACTACACTCCGGCCAAATCCATCAATTCTAAGCTGCCATACACCAATCAATTCAGGTAACCTTTTAAATTTATTTCTATATTTTATTATTTTAGTTATCTAAATCCTCAGCAACTATTTTTTTTTTTTAAATTAAATTAATTATTCATTTTTTGAAAATAAAATTTCAGCATTACGATAATAAATTCAGTTTAGTTCAATACTAATCGTACTATTCAACTACCGAGAAATCTGAACCGTTCATAATGTGAGGCCACAGCATGAACGCTGCAGATTGACCGGGACCTCGGGTCCAGAGATCTTCTAGAAATCACCCTAGTGTGATAAATGATAATGCACTACATTTTGCATGTCCCACCCGCCATGTGTGTTTGTTTTTGTTTTATTTTAATTTTATTATATTCAAAATTTATTTTTATTAAAATTTAGACTTTATTTATATTTAATAAGGATTTTTTAAGTTTTGAGTTCTATTTATATAAATATTTTTAGAACTTTTGCCCCTCTGTAATAACAATAATTTTTATAAAATATCATATCAAATATATGTTCTGATTTTGTTCATTTAAGTCAATTTTTGGATTGCGATTTCCTATAATAATAGTACTTCTTTCGTTCCATGTAATATGAATAATTACCGTAGATACGAGAATTTAAAATAAAATAAAATTAGTAAATAATTAAAAATATATTAGTAAAAATAATTATAGATTAAGATTTAAGATAACTAAATAGTTTAATTAAGATTTAAAAAATTAAAAAATTTAAAATTTGAAACGTGATTAAATTGTATAATTATATTTCTAAAAAAAGAAATAACAAATTATATGCGAAAAATAGAAAATGGAAATAAATTATATGCGACGGAAGGAGTAACAAAATATATAAAATAAAGTTAAAAAGTTACAAAAATTCAAATACTTATTAAAAAAATTGAAAAATTTAAATGTTCAACTTAAAATAATGTATTTTTATCTTTTATGATACAATTTTTTATATTACACGTAAAAAAATTAATTCATTCAAAAACGCTCGGTGAATAAACCCTATAATTTTATTTTATTTTTACAAAAATATTATATAAAATATTATTTTTTTTCAATAATAATTTATGATTTGTTGGGTGTATAGCAAAAGTAATTCCATTTAGTTAATGCATGTTTAGATAAGTCACAATCAATATTGCTTGATGTAATTCTAAAAAGTTTTGGACATGCATCTTGCATGTGTTCGGGTAGGTGTGATCTGATTTTCACCACTATTAAATAAATAAATAAATTAAATTTGCCTTTTTGTCTTATCAAAACCAGTGGAGATTTTTTTGAACTATATGTTAATCTCAACTCTCTTGCATAGGACAAATATATATATATATATATTGAATTATGTGCTTATATATGTATCTATACTATAATTAAACTATATATGCCTATTAAAAATAATTTGTCCTACTTTCAGCCTCATTTATAATAAATCTGTATTGAACAACTTGAGAATTTGTTAGGAATTTGGATTGCTAATACTATACTCATAACAGTACAAAAGTGTGTATTTATATATTTATACACGCATGTACTAGCAAGTAAAAAAATCATATCGAATGCAAAATGGATTTTTTTTTTAATAAGTTTAGGCTAATTATTATACTACCTCTTTCCCATAAAGTCGGTGACATTTACTACATAAATTTTTTAATATTAGTATTATATTAATTTATAGTAAAAATAACAAAAGTATCCTTATTAGATTGTGTGATATAAAAGTAATGTCATTGCATAATACATTGAAAGTTGTAAGGATATTAATTATACTCCCTCCGTCCCAAAAAGAAGTATCCATTTGCTTTTTGCACGTAGTTTTAAAAATATTAGTATTATATTGGGATATAGTAGGAATAAAATATAAATGACTAAAATAACTTTATTAGTATGTGTGATATAAAGGTAATGACATTTGTGTAATATATTGTAAGTTGTAAGGGTATTTGTAATGTTAGGTAGATAGTACAATTACTAAAAGAAAAGGAAATTGATACTTTGTTATGGGATGGACTAAAATGGAAAAATATGGGACGGATGGAGTATTAATTAAGTAGTATAATTACTAAATTAGGAAATAATACATTTGTTTTGGGACAAACAAAATTAAAAAAATGGTATCCTTTTTATGGAATATATGAAGTATATATATATATATATATACAAGACAGATTCATGAATATATCTATGCATGAAAATTATTAATGTAGTATTTTGGTTGGAGATTCAGGTTTTTTGAATTTGAGTTTTGAATATTAAAATTATAAATTTAAATAATTATTTAATATAATATAAATAAGTGTTAATATTTTATTTTGAATATATTATTTAACATGATATATAGATATTGGATGTAAATGTTTTATATAAAAATGAGTATGTCTTTAATATTTTAAATAAGAATACATATTTGATGCAATATATATTTTTAAAAGTGATTGTTAATCAATATCATCAAATATTTCAAAAATATTTACGTATAGTGAGCCTAGCTAGCAACAATTTTCTATTATGTATATTTAATTATGATTTCATCTTGTTATTTCATGTCAAAAAAAGGTTCCTCGACAAAGCGGCTATCCTCACGGCGGCGGACCGCCGGAACCCCGACGGCTCGCCGTCGAACCCGTGGCGGCTCTGCAGCCTCCAGCAGGTGGAGCAGCTCAAATGTGTCGTCCGGGTCATCCCGATTTGGGCCGCCGCCGTGCTCTACCACGTCGGCGAGAAGCAACAATACCTCGTCTTCCAAGCCATGCAATCCGACCGCCACCTCGCCGCCACCTTCCAAATCCCTCCGGCGACCTACTCCATCTTCTCCATGACCACCCTCGTCCTCTTCCTCCCCCTCTACGACCGCCTCCTCGTCCCCGCCCTCCGCCGCCTCACCCGCCTCGACGGCGGCATCACCGTCCTCCAACGCATTGGCGCCGGAATATTCCTCACCGTCATCGAGTCCCTCGTCGCCGCACTCGTCGAGCGCCGCCGCCGCCGCTTAGCCCTCGATCGCACCGCCGACATTGTCATCAGCGGCAGCCGCGGCGCGGCGTCGCCGATGTCGGCGATGTGGCTGGTGCCGCAGCTGGTGCTGGCGGGGCTGGCGGAGGCGTTCGCGGCGATCGGGCAGGTCGAGTTTTTCTACAAGCAGTTCCCGGAGAGCATGCGGTCGTTCGCCGGATCGTTCTTTTTTTGCGCGATGGCGGCGGCGAGCTACCTGAATGGGCTGCTGATATCGGTGGTGCACCGCGCGACGGCGGAGTCGCCGGCTGGGAATTGGCTGCCGGAGGATTTGAACAAGGGGAGGTTGGATATGTTTTATTATATGGTGGCTGGGATTTGTGGGCTTAATTTTGCATACTTTTTGGTGTGTGCAAAATGGTATAGGTATAAAAGGGTAGAATTGGAAATGGAATTGGAATTGGAGGGAAAAGAAATTCGGAAATTTTAGTTATGGGGTTTAAGGGAATATTGTTGGATTTTGAGGGTTTATTTAATATTTTAATTAGGACTTATATATATATATATATGTAATATGGTTTTGAGTGAATTAGGGAACAATAGAAATAGTGGAATTATGGATTATGTGCTATTTATTTAAATGAGAATGGCCACATTATTGTTAAGTTAAGATAATTCAATTAATTATCAAACATGGTTTTAGATTATATGTTTGATGTGAAAAATTAGTTTAGTATGGACTGAATTGATACTGGTAATTGATTAAACAAGAATAATTTAATTATTTAAATATCTTTTTCGTCACAACTTAAACTTAAAAGAATTATTTTTACTTTGTTTTATGTTAGTAAAAGTAATTATATATAAATACCAAAATATCTTTTAATTTTTATTTAAATTATAAGCATCTATAATTAATTTATATATAATGCTAAAGAACAAAAATATAAAAAAATTTATATATTTTTATGAACTAATGAAATATTATTATTTTTTAATGAATTATTGAATTCAATGTGTCATACTAGGAGTTATATTTTCAATTTTGTCATCTTTCATCTTAGTTTTCTTTAATTTTTAATACTTTGCTCAATACTATAACCCTAAACGGTTTTTTGGATTGTAAATTTAAATTTTGGTTTAAATTATATTTGCTTAAAGACTATAGTACTAAACCTTTATTTAATTGTGAATTTGAATTTTGATTTAAATTCAATTATTTTCCTAATGATGTGAGTAAATTTAAAGATCTCCTACAAAGTAGGATACTTAATTAGGTAAAAAAAAAATCTATATAATTTAATAGAGAACACAAACAAAAGTCTCGATTCAACAAGGGATGATAATAGATTAATAGACAATTCTTAAACATTTCCAATACACATAACAAAAAAGTGACATCCACTATATAAAACAAGTGTGATGCCGTTACCAAAACCCAGCCACCCATATACATATATAACGAGCCAAACTGAACCGAACTTAGTTTCTTAATTCTTCTAAAAGAAAATAGTTAAAAAAGAGGTCGCCGATATTCCTACACGGTGTAGGATTGTTGGATCATTTCGATGTCGAGTCCCCTCATCTTCACCACCGACTCGACATGGCCTTTTAGAGTATGCAATTCCCGTAACCTATACCAAAACATTCAAATTAATGTTGTTTAAACAACCAATAAGCTAAAAATCCGATCTATAAGGAAATATTTTCAATTGAAGTTATCTAAAATGGGTAAATTCGAAATATTTAAGTTCTATAGTTTAAATATAAATTTTTAAAAAATATTATATCAAAATATGATTAAAATAAAATAAAATATTATAATTAGCTTGTAATTTTTCTAAATTTTTATATTATTTTCTGCACGTTATTATTGAAAGTTAAAAATAATAAACAAAAAAAAGTTTTACCTCGCAATTTCAGCTCTCCGGCGGGCTTCCTCAGCGATCTGATTTAGTTCAGTCGCATTGTTAGTTTCTTCGGTCCGGGATACTTGTAAGCCGTGAAGTGATCTTTGATTGCAAGCCCATTCGAGCTCACGTTCCTCTCTTCCAAAATCCTTCTTCCGTGTGAAAGCAGTCTTATATAAAACAAAATATAATCGTTGGTTAAGAGATACGAGCAGAAATTAAAAAAATAAAAAGTAAGAAAAATGATTAAAAGCTACCCAAATTTACCCTATTCTCAGTTACAAGATCCCAAGCTCGTCCGGTGAGTGCATATCGGATGAAGAACTTGACGATGTCGAGTGGAATATAGCAAAGAATGTTATAAAGCCAAATGACACCAGCCCAACCCCATCCGATTCCTTTGATCGATGCAAAGCTCCAATTTGCGTATACTGCAATCAGCGTCGCAATCTGAAATATATTGATGGAAGAATCAATATTCGAACGAGACAAGGTTAGCATTGAGTTAAAAGAAGAGTGTTTCGAAGAGATAGCTAACCAATTGAGCAATGGCGAATGCTGAAATGAGGAATAGTCCTGGGCGCTCCGCGTAGGACCAGCTTCGAGACCTAGTTACGAATATTAAAGCCTGGCTGATCGTGCTTACTTGGAGATATACGGCGGAAATGAGTTTCTTGTAGTTGTCTACGGTGGAGTTTTGAAGAGTCGGCACTCCGAATATGTGCTGCGATTTTTTATCATTCGATGAAAATATGAGTCGATAAAATAGAATAAGAATTGTGAATGCGACAAAGGATAGTGGCTTACCGGGAAGAAGTCAGTTCTGTATGAAATCCAAAAGAATATAACGGTCATCATCGCTAAGTAACTTCCGAGAACAATTCCGGTGGCGAATATCTCGGAAAGTTTCCAACTGTCCGGCAATGGAGATGGTTTGACTCTATCTTTCGATATAGTCATAATAGTACCTTCAACGAATAAATCCGATAGTTGTTACGCTTAATATATAAATCATAATATAAATACAATATATGAACGTACAACATATAATAATAGTTCATGGAGTACATACTAAGTATATTAACGTATACATACATTGTAACAATCTATATAAAACATGAATAAGAAAATGTCGAAAACATGAATTTCAACTGCACATTTGAATAAAATCATTCTTTGGGCATATTGATAAGGCCGGAAACTAACCATCATTGAGAATTGCGATGATAAGCACCATGAAAGGCGGGAAGTCGAATCTCCATATCAGGGCTAACAACAAGAAACCGAGCTGAAAAGAACACGAACAAAACGGAAAAAAGCGTCAAACAACAGAGCGCGCGCAAAAAATCGAACGCCAAGAAAACCGCAAATCAAAGACGATTACGATTGCTCTTACCACAATACGAATGGTTATGGAAACAGCGTAAATCTGCGACAACAAGACCGAATCGATAAGAAAAAAAAAATGTATCTGTTAACGAATCAATATAAAAAACACGAGATACAATACCGTGTAGTTTTTCATCCGTTGGAAGATCGCGCGGCTCGTCAAAACGGCGCTAATTATGACGCTAAGGCCGGGTTCCGTAAGAACAATATCGGAAGCGCTCCGCGCTGCATCGGTCGCATCAGCGACGGCAATTCCAATATCGGCTTTCTTCAGAGCCGGAGCGTCGTTGACTCCATCGCCCGTCATGCCGCAGATATGTTTCCGAGCTTGCAGGCGCTTCACGATTTCGTACTTATGTTCTGATGAAATATAGAACAAAATGACGCAAAAAATTAATCGAAAGTTTAAGGATATGTAAGATTTCGTAACACTCGAGAAAAAGGAGATTCACCAGGGAAGACTCCGGCAAAGCCATCAGCTTTCTCGATGAGCTCGTCGATAGGTAGAGGAGTAATCGATTCGTCTCTGAGCTGCCCCAACAGCGCCGACGACGGATACATGTTTGTTCCCATTCCTAACCTTCGTCCCGTTTCCTTCCCTATCGCGAGCTGGTCGCCTGTTAACACCAATGAATTCAGTGATTAATTGATAAAGACATACAACACTCGATATAAAGATAGATAGGACATGAGTTATGTTAATATAATATAAATAATCCATCATTCTCACACAAAGTAACATTTATTTTTAGTAACAGTACAATTTATCTAACATTACAAATACCCTTATCTTTATATCATATAAGTTACTTGTATAAAAAGACAGAATCTTATACAACAATTGATTCGGTAAAATAAAAAAATTATTATATGCTTTTATTTAATTGTGTCGAATAAAAGCATGTGCAAATCGATAATAGTCGATACCGTCACTTAAAATAGGGGATCTGAGTTTTTTTTACCGGTGATCATCTTCACATTGACGCCGAGATTGAGCGCTCGTCGTATAGTCTCCGCACTGTCGACTCGCGGAGGATCAAACAGCGGCAGTATACCGATAAACTGCCATGGGCCGCCAGCGCTCTCTTTCGAACCTTCCGGAACTTCCTGCGAGTAAACTCGAGCGACGTAATGTATTCACATTCGTCGATAACAGTAACAAAAATTAAAGTATACGGCGAAATTAGTACCTGGTACGCCACGGCCAACGATCTCAAACCTCGCTCGGCAAATTTGTCGATCACCTCATGCACGCTCTTCGCGATCGTCGACTTATTGTGGGCGAGGCTTAAAATCTACGCGCAGTTCGCAGAAGAATTCAGAATAAATCGAATAAGTCCGAAAAAAAAAAAGTGTCGAGGATTGTCGATGGTACCTGCTCCGGCGCGCCTTTACTGACCCTGTGCATTTTTCCGGCACCGTCGAGGTAGGTTAAAGCAGTCCGTTTATCGGTTGGGTTGAACGGGAGGAAGTGTAGTTCTTCAATGCCGGCGCGCGCCTGTCGACAATATATTACGTGATTTTAAGTCGCGGAATTTTAATGTATAAGATCGCGGCGACGTTTTTTTACCTCCTTAGGATCGGACAGCTTCCCGACTATAGCAGTGTCGATCGCATCCTGATTTTCCGTTCGAGAAGCTCGGGCTGCCATTAGAATCAACGTTGATGCATCGACACCGTCGGCGAACACCTGTAACGCAGCGAAGAAAATACGATCAGATCGATTTGAATATCAATTTGAATATCGCCACCGTAGAAATCAAAAACTCATTAACCTTGACAATATTCTCGTCGACCGTAAGCTTGTTCAACGTCAACGTCCCTGTTTTGTCGCTGCACAGCACGTCCATCCCCGCCATTTCTTCGATCGCCGTCATTCGCTTAGTAATCGCGCCCTTCATATAAATCGATCTACGATCAAAAAGATGTTATCGTAATTGTAAACCATAACAATCAATCGCGAATACCTGTTGAGACAATCGATGCGAACCAATGGCCATCGTAACCGAAAGGACCGTAGGCATCGCAATCGGAATGCCACCGATGAGTAAAACGAGTAAGTTGTCGATCCCGATGCGATACGTCCGGTGTTGAATCGGATACATCACGATAAGCTCGACGATCATGCCCGCCGCGATCGAGCAAATGCAAAAGTTCCCGATCGACGTCAAAACCTATGACCAAAACAACAAAATCTCAAAATCGTAAATATATATTATCTCACAGTACTATCATATCAGATATTTATTTTTTATCGAACTTACCTTTTGGAAGTGTCCAACTTGGTTAGTCGAATCGACGAGATGCGCAGCTTTCCCAAAGAAAGTACGGACTCCGGTGGCAATCACGATCGCCTCGAGCTCACCCTGTTTGCAAGTCGATCCCGAGTACACTCCCTCGCCGGGTCCCTTCGTCACGGGAAGAGACTCTCCCGTTAACGCCGACTGCAGAAAAGACTTCCAACTCGATCAAAACTACATTAACCAAATATCATCGACCCAACGATTAAAAGACACGAACCTGATCGATTTTCAACGGATCACCCTCGAGCAAACGAGCATCGGCTGGAATGATATCTCCGAGCTTAATACTGACTATGTCGCCGGGTACCAAAATCGCCGCCTCTTCCTCGCGCCACTGTCCGTCTCTTAGAACCTTTCAACAATATTCAAATAGAATCAATCATTGAAACATAAATCACACAAAAAATTGCTTCTTACAATAACAAAAAATCGAAATTGAAATTGAAATTGAAACCTTAGCTTTGGGAGCAAGACGAGCCATGAGAGCAGCTGCTGCATTGCCAGCGTTGTTCTCTTCGATAAAACTTATCGTCGAGTTAATGAAAAGCAACGTTATTATTCCCACGAAATCCTGCCAATCCGGCGGCTTCCCCTGCAAATTATGTACGTAATTTTCAATTTATAATTTTAAAGCTATCATTCAAATATTTTATTCAAAATTAAATTCTTGTTTGTCCAATTTGATTCTATTAAGAATTTTGTAATTATATAATTCAAAATAATATTAAAATAACTAAATAATAATAATAAATACATACTAATATTTATTAAATTTTTAAAATTGAAACATAAAAACTCTCTAACAAAAATTAAAATATTATTGTATAGTTGTACTTCTAATTATATATGATATATTTATTTATATAAAACTTAAAAAAAATAATAGTATAAATAAATTTAGTTTAATCTATATAATTTGTAAAATATATATGTATATATATATTTCATCATCAATCCAAACATGTGTGAATAATCGAATATTAAAATTTTATATTATATATATATAATTAATTTACAACCCTATTTCATATCCAATCAAAAAAAAAGAAAAAAAAAAAAAAAAAGTGTTCTTACGCCTCCATTAGCAAGAGCAATAGCCATAACAGCAGCAACTTCCATGACCCATGACAAAGGATTCCACATAAACCCTAGAAATTTCAGGAATTTGTTCTCCTAACAAAATCCAACAACAACAATGCACAACGAACACAGTAAAAAATCGAATTCACCGTAAAATCAGAACCAAAAAGCAATTGCAAAAACCAAACATAGAATCATAATTTCAATTTTACAGAATCCAATTACCTTCTTCTCCTCGAGCTTGTTGTATCCAAAACTGACTAATCTCTCCTGCGCAGCAGCGCTCGTTAAACCTTCCTTCGAGCATCTCAGATTCTCGAAAACGTCATCAATAGGAACATTCTCCTGCAATCGAAAATCCAAATCAACAACAACGTAAAAACGAAGAACAATCAATCAATCAATTAATTAACAATTCCACTGTTGATTATTCAAAAAATTAAGCAATTCGATTACCAAATCCACCTCCTCCTTCAACACAGCGTCGAGAGCCTGCGGTCCGTCGCCCATCGTCAAAAATCAAAAACTCACTGCAATAACTCCTTAGTCAAAAATCAAAAACTCACTGCAATTAATTAACTCCTTTCCTCTTCCTCTGAGAAATAATATATAGAATTAAATAGTGTAAGGAGAAGATCTCGAACGCAGGAATAGTGGAAACAGTTAGAGAAGAACTCTTCTTGCTTACTCAGTAATTATATGCATGTATATATATATATAATTTTCAATTTAGATATTTTTATTATATTTTGTTATAATAATCTGGATAAATAAAATATATTATATAAAAATTTTATATGTATTTATAAGTTTGGATGATTTTTTATTATTAAATTAAAAATATTAAATGGAAGTAAAAGTTATATATTAAAAGTTTTTTTTCGTTTATAAATAATATGGATAAATTTTTTATTTATTTTTATAACGTTATATTTTTTTTTTTTAACAAATTTTTTATTCAATTTGTTATAAATTATAATATTTTTTATTTTATATGAATGGTGGAAGGCAAATATAAAAATACATGAGATAAATATATTTTGTATGTGTTTTGTTTTTTTTAATTTTTTTATTTTTATTTAAAATAAAAAGAAAAACAGGTTAATTGAGACAAAAAAGAAAAATGCCCACACTCTTTAGTATTATTAATATAATCTTATTGATTTCTTTTAAACTAATAAAATTTTATTTTTAGTGAATATACTTCGATTTTGTTTTTTCACTAATTTTTTTTTATGTATTTTTTTAAAACAATTCTTTATACTTTAAATAAAAAAATTTCCTTTCAAACAATTTTACGAAACAAACACATCCTTCAAATTTTACTTTCAAATATATGAAATAATTCAAATACTTTTTAAATTCAAATTTTTATTAAATTTTTCTTAAAATAAAATCATGTGAGTCCAATATATTATTATGATACTCCCTCCGTCTCATTGGAAGGATGACGTTTGTTTTTTGCGTGTAAATTTTTTAATATTAGTATTATATTGAATTATAGTAAAAAAAGACAAAAATATCTTTATTAATATGGTGTAATATAAAAGTAATGGTATTTGTGTAATATATTGTAAGTTGAAAGGGTATTTATTATGTTAAGTAGATGGTACAATTATTAAGAAGAACTATTATTATTATTTTTTGTATATTTATGTGTTATGGTATTTTACATTTTCAAAAATAATAAAATTTAAATAAAAGTTGGAAGCAAGAGTATAACTTTTGATAAAATCAAATTTGAAAGCATTATGTACAAAATCAAAATTTTAATTATTCTTACAATACATAATATTAATTACTTTATTCATTTATATATTTTTATTTAAAATAATTTTATAAATTGTATTTTAAATAATAAAAATACAATAAATTGAGTATTTTAAAGAAAGAAACACTTTAGAACAAATATTGAAACATTTTAGTTTATATAATAACTATAATATAAAATGTTGTTGTGATTAATTTCATCAAGAAATTATTATAACTATATATATGCTTTTATTATATTTTAAAATTTTCTATAAACCAAAAATAATATCTAGATAATAACTTGAATATTAATATTTTACACCATTTATTTAGTTATTTTGTTAGGATTTTTTTTTTTATAATTATTTTTCCAATGTTTTAAGTTGTGTTTGTATTTTTAATTTACATAGAAATTTTATATATTATTTTAAGATTAAAAAAAAATGTATACTTTCTATACAAAAATTATAAAAATTGTATAATAAAATTTTAAAAATTAAATATTTCAAATAGAACAATTTATGGATATGGCTATAGGAAGTATTTAAATTAGGTTTGTAAATTTTTATTATTTGTCTTTCAAAATTTAATTTAATTTTTTAAAATATAAATAAAACACTCTAGATTAATAATTAGATTTCATACAAGATCGTAATATTTAAAAAATAATTTATCTAAAAGTTATTAAAAATTAAAAAAGACAATCAACAAGTAAAAATATTTTTATAGGTGAGTGTGTTTGTTATAAATTATAGGATAGATTATATGGTTGGTACAAATATTCGATTTTTATGGATATTTTAAAATTTATTGTTGGTGGATAGATATTCATTTTTAATAAATATGATTTATAAAATAAATAAGTAAACAAATAAATATTAATTATAATATTTTTAACATGTTTTATTTTATTGAAAACGTTCAAAATAAATAAGTAGTGATTTGGGTTTGAAATTTTAATCAAACAATTGTTATAGAAATATCTATTTAGATCATATGTTTAATAGAAAATTATACTCCCTCCGTCCACTTACAAAATTTATATTTATTTTTAACGCGGTGTTTAAAAAATAATAGTATTTTAATTATAGTGAGTAGTTAAAAGTAGTGTAATGATATTTTTGCCCTTAATTTTTTGTGTAAAAATAATGATGTAAAGTAAGGGTATCTGTAGAAAAAAAATAGGGTATTTAATGAAATGTTAACTTTGTAATTGGACGTCCCAAAATAGAAATATGTAAACATTGTAAATGGACAGAGAAGTACTATATTGTATATAATTTAAAATATATATATATTTTTTATAATTCAATCTATCTTTTGATTGGTCAATAGTTTTATAGTACTCTCTCTGTTTCAATACAATATTTTTGTTTACTATTTTTGTCCGTCCAAAAATAATAGTCTTATTTCCATAATCTCACCATAAAACTATCCCATACGTTTTCATTTTTATTACACAATTGTCACTACTTTTTACACTAATACCTCACAAGGCCAAAAAAGTCTTTTATCTATACTTTTTAGCAACTACTAATATAATATTAATATTTTTTAAATCTCGTGTCCAACCCAATTAAGACTATAGTTTTGGAATGGATAGAGTATTTAATAAAATTTTATTATGGTTTAGTCATTTTATATTCACATATTATACAAGTTTTTATAATAGGGATGTGGTGTTACTTTATATATTTAATAAATGATATTGTTTATTTATTTTTTTGATGCACTCATTTATTGAATATAATTGTCGAATATGTTTAATGCTTATATGTACCTCCGTCCATTTTCTAATGTCCTATTTGATATTTACATGTATTTTTAGGCAATTAGGATTTTGCTATAAAATGACAAATTTGTCCTTAATCTTGTGTATAGAAAATGAAAGAGTAAATAAAGTAAAGGTAAAAGAGTAAATTTTGTGTATAAAAATAAAAAAAGGACAATAATTGTTGGACATTCCAAATAAAAAAGTAGGACGTTAGCTTGTGGACGGAAGGAGTATAGATCTTGACTCAAAAAATATTGAGTATTAAGTAATATATATGCGTTGCATAATCAATAATTTAATTATGTTTTTATTTAATAAAAAAACTTATTTAATTCATACATTTTATATTATTAAAAAGTAATTTGTAAATGTAACTAATGTTTATGGTTTTTATTTATTTTTATATCAACCATATATAAATCATATAGAATACATTAAACTATAAGAATTCAATATATTGTTTATTTATTTAATAATAATAAAATATTTAACTTATATCCCTATGTTTTATATAATTAAAAAAGTTGCTGTTCATGATATTTATATGTTCGTCATAAATCTGTTCGATTTGATAATTAAAAATTAAAAATATAAACAACTCTTGATTAAAATAATTTGAAAGTGACATATGATTACATAGGATACGGCTAAGTCGAGGCACACGTGCCAATAATTGTCCTTTTCGAAATAAAGTATAATCACCGTACCGTGCCCTTTTTTTTTTTTTTATATATATATATAATTTCTAATTCCATATAAAATGGTTATATTTTTCATTTGGCTAATATAATTTTTTTTAAAAAAATATATATATAATTATATATTTTAATTATATTTTAAAGTTTATAATTTAGAATTTTTTTAATTTTAATTAAATTATTTAATTATTTTAATTTTAATTTATTATTATACAATAATTATTTTTATGAATATAAATCCGGTCATATCTCAAGATATATTGTATTACAAATATGATAAAATATATATAAATATATATTGTTCACCCTATAACATATGTTATTCCAATCAAATTTTTATTATTTTTATTAAAATATTTTTAATTACTTATTAATTATACTTCACATAAATTTTCCGGGATTTAGGAAATACTGCATATTACTCCTATAGACACCAAAATTTAAAATTAGCAATTAATAAATAATTAAAAATATATTAATAAAATTAATTGCTATATAATACAAAATAATTATAAATTAAAATTACTATAATTAATTTGTCTAATTAAACTTTTAAAAATAATAAATTATAAGATTTAATCCAAAATATAAAATCCAATTTTACCTAATCAAATCTTACAACGTTATAAAAAAGTTATAAAAAGTTTCATGACATTGCATTGTCAGGTATATTTAAAAGAAGTTTCCAATATCACGAAGAAATTCCCAAAATAGATTAAAGTTTTTAATTTTTAAAAAGTAAAAAAAAAAAAAAAATTACCCCTCCCTTCCAAACAACCTGCAACATTTTTTTTTTTTTGTATCTTTGCAATATTTCTATAAAATAGGAAATGATTAGTCTCTATCTCACACTTTATCCCCTCGCATCATCCAAATTAAAAAAATTAAAAAAATTATTCTACTTAATACTACTCACCTAAAAACCCGTACCAAAAGCAAATGTTGCACCTTGACGGAGGGAGTAAATAATAGGACTAAAAGAGTATAATATAGGTTCGCCTAATATGACTTTCTCGTCGGGCTTGGTTTGCAGGATATTAGATTCGGCCAGAAGTTTACCCAATGCGCACTTTCGGGTAGCGATTGCGGATCCCACGTCATAAAAAAAAAAAAAAAGTATAATATATATAACTATACATATATCTTTATGTATATAATAGATTTGTACACAAATATTACAGAGCAGTAGAAAATTTTTACTAGTCGAAAATGTATTTTTTATATTATACTTAAAAAAAATAAAAAAAAAATCATTCAAGATATCACATCAAACACTTATTTATATTAATTTAAACAAATAAAATATTTAATACTCTAAACTCATGCCCATAACACAATCCCAACAAGAAAAACTTGCCACAAAATGTAACAAATAGATACACTAAAAACTCTTTTTGTCACATTTCATAGTTCCTAAAAATTTCAGCTAATCAGAAAACCTAAATAACTTCTTGAATAGACATATTCTAGTATTCACACATTTCAATTAACATACCATATTTTGTATTTACAGCTAAAAATACTTGCAAAACAAATAAATAAATAAATAAAAGGCATACCTTTACCCGATTATCTCGATGTTTGTAACTTAAATAAAAGCTCGTCATAAATTCCCTCCCAAAACCCGTCTCAGTTCTTGCTTTTGCGACTCCGAAAGCCTTTTTGGGTACCTGACATCGATTTGTATCCTGAGATTTCCTTTCCTCCTTCGATCTTTCGGTAAGGGCATTCCCTCGTTTGGGACGACAATTTCTTGTCCGGGTTTCACAATCTCCGTCAATGGAGCAGTTATGTTTCTGCCGTCGAGCATTGTTAGCTCGAAAGTCTTCCCCGTCAGGGATTCGAGGAGAGAAATCTCTTGCTTCGTGACCAAATCATTGCCGTCGCGCGTGAAGATCGGGTGCGGTTTTTCATCGACGGTGAAAGTTAGATCTGCCGGGATTACGCCGGGCTCTTCGTTTCCCTTCTCGGGGAATGTTATTTTTGTGCCCTTCTTCCATCCTGGTTTTATGTCGATGGTTAAGATCTCCTCGAGAACACGGGGTCTACTGCACGATACGGAAATGTACATTAGATCTTGTGAGGAAAAGGAAAAAGACATTGTAAGATGAAGATTGCGCGCTGGAATTGTAATAATGTAATTCGTAACGAACATTAACAATAATATGAATTTCTAGAAAATGACGAGCACAGTTCTACGGATTATCGCCATTTTTGCACCTTCAATAGTTCAGATATAGACATAAAGACACATAACTTTTGCGTCATCCATACAACCTAAAATACTGAGAATTAATTATCTTATTAATCATTTAATCTAATCATGTATTTATCTTGAATGGTGAAAGCACACAAATATGAACAAGCTGCACGGTACACAGGGTAACATGTTCGTAAACACAAGGATTTGAAATTTAAGGTATTTACCATTTTGATCGATAGGAATCTAGACATTATTTTCGTAACACAATAAAATAACTATATAGAGAGCTAAATCATAAAATGCAAGTGTACAAAGTAGAAACTTAATTTCAGCTGTCGACAGCTCAGAGACAAATCTAGAGACATAAATGTCAGATCCCGGGGAGAATATAAACATCGACCATACGAAGAGTTTCATGTGGTCTTCCAACAGTCGTCATTTCTTGGATGATATCATATAAAAGCTTCCTAACAACTGAACTTTAGTGGGAGGCTGTCGAAAAGGAATAGACAAGCCAACTCGGCTTTCAGACTGATATTTTTTTCAGATAACATTAATATCATATGACTTAATTCATAAAGTTACACTAATTGTTAAATTGATTGTTCTAGAAATTTTCAGAGCCTTTCTTTGGCCTTATTAGATTAAACATATGAGTGTACTATTTTCACTTAGCCTACGTCACAGGTTTATCCGCAGTTTAATTTAATCGAGGACATTCAATCCCGCTTTATAAAATCAACTAGTGTTATTTATAATATGCCCTTAATCTTGTGATACAACAGAATTAGATTTTAGCTCCATAACCTAAAGTTGGTGCAACGACAGGCCAAGTTTTAGTAATACCGGTCTGGTAATTTCAAGATCAATCAAAATTTATCAAGTCAAAGTGATATCCTTTTCGGTAACATTTTCATACCATAAAAAACATAAAAATTATAGAACTATAATTATAAAAATATCTCTATCAATCTATCCCGGCTTACTTGGGACTATCGTAGAAATGCCACTTACTTTTAATGTGTTCGATTTTTCATAAAAACAGAAATAATTACAAACACTAGCTTATGGAGACCACGGCATTCCACTTAACTTTGTTATGCGCAGAACATATTTATCAACAGAGCAGATATTGACTGAACAACATTTAACAATTCAAAGATCAACTAAACCCCATCGTAATAGTGAAATACCAAATGTTACATTCGACTACAAAGAAAATCGTCAATGCAGCTATACATCTGTTGTTAAAATAATTCAAAAACATCCTTCTTAATCCAAATAAAAAAATCATCCAGAGCATAAATAGCAAACGATTACCCAATTCATCTACCTTCACTAAACTAAACAATAAACAGATTAAACGAACACCCTGAACCCAGATTCGATTTCAAAACAAGAAACCAGAATCAAAACAGTACCTAATTAAAAAACCATCAAAACTAAACACACATAAACATATATATACATATATGTATGTATGTTCAAGAAAAAAATGATCAATAATGGCAACTTAGCAATGCAACCATAAGACGGAAAAAAGCAACATCAATTCAAACCTTCTAAATCCAGAGCATAATATTACCTAACAATAATCCAATTCTAAAATTCAATCCGAAAAAAGAAATAAGCAACGGCGAAAATCAGTGACAAACTAAAACACCACCACTAAAAAAACTATACATACATATCAAGAAAGAATGAACAATGATGACAAATTGGCAATGAAAATTGAAACCATAAGACAAAAAAATGCAGTAATATTCTCAATCCATATAAAAAACCCATAGCACAATTCAAAAGATTCAATCCATAAATGAACAATCCAAAAAGTAACCAACACAAAATAAGAACAAACAAAGCAAGAAAAGAATGCAAGTACCCATGAGAATCCAGAACATTCCGAGAGATCTTCATCTTCCGAGTAGAACCAGTGTACAACTCCTCCAAGCTACACATCAGCACTTTCTCCACCGGCGGCGCCTTCCTCGAAGCACCGGCGGCGCCGTTCATTGTCGTATACCTAAAATTCCCCTCTCTCCCATTACTGCCGCCGCTGCTTCCTCCAGCATTCCCGTTGCTGTTCTCCCCAAAAATCTCCGCATAAATATCGTCTGCATTCCTAGGGTTGAACCTGAAATTAGGGTTTGGACGCTGCTGATTGTCGCGATAAAATCTACGAGACTGAGGCGGGAATTGCCCCGATTTGAGGCCCTCCTCGCCGTATAGATCGTAGATCTGGCGCTTCTGCGGGTCGCTGAGCACATCGTAGGCTTCTGAGATCTGCTTGAATTTGTTCTCCGCCTCTAACTTGTTCGCATTCTTGTCCGGATGCCAGATCATCGCTAACCGTCGGTACGCCTTCTTCAAATCCTCATCGCTCGCGTTGCGATTCACTTTCAGAATGTTGTAGTAGTCCACTCCCATTCCCGTGACCTAGAAGTTAGAACCCTACTCTTCTGTTCTCTGCTCCTCAAGTTATTCTAAATACGAGATTGTGATCGTACAGAAACGCCGATGAAGAACGGGATTCGAATTTCCGATTGGGATTGACGGATTGCCGGCAGCCTCCAGACGGCGGAGAATCTCACTTCTGGTGAAAAGTGACGGTGAGTGAGAAAGGATCAAGGAAGGAGACGGACGAGATAGGGATTAGGGATCCCGGGCAGGGGTATTATTGTCATTACACTGATTGCCAATGTGATTATGAATTACCGCCATCTTTCTAATTTACTTGTCCGGTTTATGTAATATTCTCTCCGTGACAATTTAAGAGGGGCTTTTGGAGTGTTATTAGATTAAAAAATAAAAATATTTTACATAATAAAAATACATATTTCTGATATATATATATATATATTTTTATATTAATAATATATTTATAATTTATTACTATTATTTATACATCTTAAATATATTATATATATATTTTTTATATTGTGTTAATATATATGTAGTATGTATATATTATTTCCTCCGTTAATTCAAATTACTATTATTATCTTTTTCCGTTTATCTCATTTCAAGTGTTTCTTTTAGAAAGTATCAAAATATTTTTAATTTTTACTTACAAATATATCAATTACACATGCAATTTATTTATATATAAAATTAAAGGATAAAAATGTCAAAAAAATTTATACATTTTTACTAATTAATAATATATTCCCTCAGTTCAAATACAATAGTGTTGTTTAATATTTTTGTCAGTCTCAAAACAATAGTCTCATTTTTATAAATAATCATATCACTATAAAATTATTCCTACTTTTTCATTATTATTACACAATTACCATTAATTTTTTACACTAATATAGGGAAAAAAAAAAGTCATTTATCTTTATTTTTTTATTATTTTTTAATTTATTACAAAACCTAAACTCATTTCATTTGGAACCAGAAAAGCATAATTTTTTTTGATAAAAATATAAAGAGTATAGATTTTGTTTAGATAAAGAGTTTTGGGAGATTTTTGAAAAATTAAAAATTTGAAACAAAAAAAGGTAATAATAATAATAAATTAGTATTTGATTTGATATTTTAAAGAAAAAAAATATATTTGATATGATATATTTTTTAAAATGAATAATATTTCATATATTTCTAAACAATATCGATAGAGAATCATACCACTCACAAAACCAATTGAATCATTCAACCTTGGCGCCTGGCGTACGGGTCTTCTATATCAACTGTTAATTAAATATGTTTAAATTTAATAAAAAAATTATGGAACCTCTATATATATATATATATATTCCAGAAAATAAACATTTGACTTTTACACAAATTATAAAAATAACTGCCTCAAATTTCATTTAAATTTTAGAACAAAATAGTAAGGTGATGTAATTCCAACTTTGAATAAAATGAATACACTTCCAAATATCACAAATCCCAAATCACCAAAACCAACACCATCAAAGATCATATACACAACACATCACAAACACACAAAACAAAAATATACAACACAATAACCCACAAAATCTCTAATCTACCAATTTTAAAACCACATCGACCCGACCCGACCCGACCCGAAAACAGGAATTCTCGTCGCTCTTGAAGCCGACACCATTCGCTTCAGAATTTAAAAAATTAAACGACGACTGTCTGACCTGTGAAGCCATCCTGCAGCTGCAAAGATCCATCTTTCATTAGATTGAGGCTCAAGCTCTTGAACCGCTCCCGGGAATACTGCCGGGACGCCTTTCTCCAGTCCGTCCCGGTTTTCATCATGGCAACAAACTCGTCGTAGCTGATTCGACCATCCTGAACGAATGAAAAATAGATTGTTATCGAGCGAGTGTGTTCGAATTTTCACACACACATTTATATACGAAACTAGTTACTATGTTCATATGTTGTATTTATATTATATTAATGTAAAGACAAAATTTTTCATAACTCCCTTGTGCTGGATCTCCTTTACTTTAAAAATTATATTGCGTTATCTCTCCGTTGTTTCGAAAATCAATTTAAATTCTCATTGTATTTTAAAAATTGCATAATGCCCTTTATATTTTAAAAAATATTATATAAAACCCACCGTAATGCAAAAAAAATATAGATAGAAAATCATCTTCTCATCACTTTGATGGTGGTAGAGTTTCATGCAATATTTTTTCAAAGTATAAGAAAACGTCCTGCAATTTTAAAGTATAAAGAGATTTAACGCTAACTATCGAAACTAGATGAGAGTTATAGACAATTCTGTCTAACATAAATTGTGTGTATTATATATCTATATATGTATGTAAATGTACCTTGTCTAGATCAGCCTCGCGCATAATGTCGTTGAGTACTTCAAGCTCGGGTTCGCCCGATTCGTCGACTAAAGCTTCTCTTAATTCGTTGAGTTCGATATGTCCGCTCCCGTCTTTGTCAAAGAACATGAACGCTCTCCGGAAATGCTCGTCGTTCTCCATCCTTTGTAAGTGGATAGTCACCGCGACAAACTCCCCATAGTCCAAGACTCCGTTTCCATCTACATCGGCCTGTTTGTAAATTATTTCTATCAGGGCTCGACTCGAAGGTAAACGTATGCGATTGTATTGCAGGATTCGTGGATATATCGAGAGATTGGAGAATCGGGAGTTACCACATCCATGAGTAGTTTGATCTCAGGCTCGGCTAGTTGGGATCCCACTTTCCGAAGACCAGCTTTTAGTTCGTCGTACGTCACCTTCCCATCATTGTCTGTGTCCATCAGCGCAAACATATCTCGGATTACTTCGACTTCTTCCACAGATAAATGCTCGGCGATTACCTATGCAGTCATTGGAGAATAATATTTCTTTAGAAGCAAGATAGAATAGCAAACACTAAAGGTGTATGAAACTTATGGTACATGCTCACCCGCAATGCTTTCTTCTTGAACTTGTTCATGACGGAGAATTGCTTGAGTCTTGCCCTCACTATGTCCCCCAATGGGACGTTCGAAGCCTTCTTTGCATTTTGTATCCACGGGTGATCTAACAAAAAACAATAATTATGTTTTGTCGTCAAACAAACCGTGAAAATGACGCCATTTCATGATAGGCACTATGCTTTACAAAAACAGAAGCTAACGGAAACTCGAGCAGCATGTAAACTCTCAAACTCCTCGAAAATGAACACCTTAAAACTCCACACCAAAATTGGCATGGAAACGTGATACAAGAATCTTCATGTTTACAAATAAGTGAAACCAGATTGAATCTAAAGTATTTTGTTGTTGTTGTTGCTGTTTTTGTTTCCCAATTTTCTCTTAAACTTAAACCCCAAGTTCCAAAACATTTATACACTCAAGGAAATAACGAGAGAAGGCCATATAGAGTCAACAAGAAGTTATAGAAAAATAAGCAAAATATCGAAATAATAAATTGAGGGGGGGGGGGGGGGGGGGGATAGATTAACTCAACATGGAGAGCTTCTTATTCACATTTTTACTCACTAGCTTTCACCTAAGTGGACAAATTAACTTTCTAAATCTCATCATGGTTGATTATTGTATAACTTTAGGCGCTTAAAAACCTTTCGAAAAAGTTGCATACCCTTCAAGGAAACAATCAGAAAAAGCCATATAGAATCAACAAGAAGTCATACAAAAGATATCGAAATAAATTGACAGTGTGGGAGAATAACTCAACATAGAGAGCTGCTTTTTCACATTCTTACGCACCATCTTTCACCTAAGTGGACAAATTAACTTCTCTCTTTCTAAATCTCATTATGGTTAATTATTGTATAACTTTAGGCAATTAAAAACCCGTCGAAAAGTTTCATACCCGACAGGGCACGCACACCAGCCACCACCACAAAAGCAATCCTACCTCCCATGTGGACAAACAACACATATCAATCTCCAAAACCACCAATCTATAACAAGAGCACACACTTTATCCTAAAACCAAAAAGGGCATCATCATGTAGGCTCAACACACCCTTTATTGCCAGTCGAAAAGTTCGAAAATCATGGCCCCAACAAGCAACAGAAACCTTTTTGCTTACTGATTATCTTAAATTACTCCGAAAACTCAGCATGCCTAATCGGTCCCTACTTTCTAAGCATGGTGGCCATCATCATTTGCAAGAAAAGTAAAGCACCAACAACATTACACTAATCCAACTTTATCGAAATACTTTATCCAAAATACTCTGCAAGAAACCAAAATAGGTTTTTTTTTTTTTTTTTGCAAGAAACTTACCAAGCACTTGTTGAGCTGTCAAACGCTTTTGGGGATCAGGTTCAAGCATCTGCCTCACAAGGCTTTTTGCACTTTCTGAAACTTGAGGCCATGGCTCCCTCTTGAAGTCCAGCACACCTCTCAAGATTGCCAAGGCAACTCCTTGCTCGTTTTCTAGACACAATTCAATGGGGATTTCAAATTGATTTAGGAGTTTATTGGGTATGATAAAATGGGGTAGAGAAATGGAATTCAAACTTGAGAAATGAACCATTTTTCGTTTTTTTTTCATTTATTCGTTGTTTCTATTATATTATTAAAAATTTATAGATAATCACATCTAAATTATTATTCAAATAAAAATATAAAAATCACTTTGGACAACATTTCTTTCTCATATTCCCAGTTCACTAAAATCCTATTTCACCAAATTCATCTATTTTTTTTCTTGACCCATTTATCCTCTATTTTTCTGTTAGTAACACATATCGATTTATTCAATCATACTCAGTCCCAATTCAAACTAGCAATTTTATTATTTTTTGTCTGTCTCTTTATAGAAAAAGTAATGATCCGCTAATACGAGACTATTCTTATTTAACATACCATCATACTATTACATATATAATTACTTTGTACATAATATACATAAAATTAAATGCTCAAAAATGTCAAAAACTACTACAAAATTCAAAGGGCTTTTTGATTGATTTGGGAGGAAGGAAGTAGTTTTTTTTTTTACATTTCGAATTCTATGTTTTAACAATAAGAAAAATCAATTTTTATTCTATGATAGAATTCTTTTGTGTACAATTCTATTCTTACCATTTCTCTGACAACTTTATTCACTGTACCAAATGGAACCTAACGAAGGTGCAAATTGAAATGAACATCGCTGAAATTGGAGCTAAAATACCTGCCCAAAATGGAGGAACACCACACAACAAAATATAGAGAATCACACCAGCACTCCATATGTCTACTTCAGGTCCGTAGTTCCTCTTCAGAACCTCTGGCGCCATGTAGTATGGACTCCCTACAATCTCCGTGAATTTATCCCCTGATCGATGTGGTTTTGGAGTGATTAATTGATTAATTGTGTGAAAAAGTTAAGTAGAAGATATGGAATCATGTACCAGAGGAAAATCCCCAATTCTTCAAACCCTAGGTTAGCTTCTAAATATCGTCAATGGAAGCGGAGGAGGCTTACCAGGCTTGAAGAAGACGGACAGTCCAAAATCGATTGCCTTAAGAGCGGAATTCTCCTTCTTATTGGCGAAGAGGAAGTTTTCCGGCTTCAAATCGCGGTGCATAACGCCGTGGTGGTGACACATACGGACGACTTCGGCGATGGTCCTCGCGACGGCGGCGGCGGCGCGCTCGCTGTAGTGGCCGCGGGCGACGATTCTGTCGAAGAGCTCGCCGCCTTCGCAGAGCTCCATCACCAAATGGACGGCGTCGTCGTCTTCGTAGGTGGCGCGTAGCTTCACGACGTTCGGATGGTCAGGCAGGCTCGACATGATGGCGACCTCGCGGCGGACGTCCTCTATGTCGACCGCCGTCCGGAGCTTCTTCTTCGAGATTGATTTACACGCCAGAGCTTCGCGAGTTTCGCGGTCGGTGCAGAGGTACGTCACGCCGAACTCGCCGCGGCCGAGCTCGCGGCCGAGGATGTACTTGTCGGTGATTTTCGTCCGCGGAATGAAATCCTTCAGCACGCGGATCGACGCCGGCGATTGCGCGTAGGGATTAGGGTACCGCTCCCGGTGCTTCCTCGGCGTCGGCGCCGGCGCCGGCGACTTCGCTTCTGAAGGTCTTATACAGGCGTTGCAGTTCCCCATGTAGAATTTTTTCAAGTTGCTTCTTTGTTGAATACACTTGGAAATGAAGGCGCGGCGCCTCCGTCAGCGGCGGCGGCGGTGGTGGTGAGCGGCGGCGGAGAAACAGAGCATGACGAGAAAATTGAAGAAGTGCTGTGGAAGAAAGCTAATTAAGCTGAAGGATACATCATATTTAGATTATGTTTGGGAAGTCCCGGAGCACAGAACCAGTTCGACACGACAATTTAATTTGACTGTTCTGGTGTTCGAGATCCTGGTTGTTTCCAGGAATTTTAATCTGACGGGAAATCTTATTAAATATTGCATTTAATTTATTACACGAATTTTTAATTTCCAATAATTGGCTGCATTTAATTTTCACAATTTCAAAAAATATTATAAAGTTTGTGTAATCTGTTGTGATTTTGAATCAGTCAATAGTTTTTTTTTTTTAATGGTAAATCCTATTTCCAAAAAAATCATTTTCGAAGGACGTGTTTGTTTGGAGATTGAATTTTGAGTTAAAATTTGAATAGTAAAAATTTTGAATTTAAATAATTTATATAAATAGATGTTGATGTAATATTTTAAATGTAAAATTAATTTTTAGTATAATATAAAAAATAAAAAATAAATATTTAATTTAATATTTTTTTAAAAAAAATTAAATAGTAAAAATGTACGGTCAAATCCAAACACATTTGTGTTTTTTTAAACTGTGTTGATTTGAGATTTTTTTTAAGATTTTTTTTTCTGCATATAACTTTTTTCATTAAAAGTAATAAATTAAAAATTTTATATCTTAAAATATAATTTTAATATTTATTTATATTGAATTAAATAAGTAAATATAAAATTATATTATTCAAAACACAAATCTCAACCAAACACACCTTCTTTTATTTTTAGGAATTTTTATTAGTGGAGTATTATTTATGAAAACTTATAGAATTATTATTAGAATATTTATTTATATTATTAAAATATTTTATAAAAAATATACTCTCTCTGTCCCTAATCAAATGACTATTTGAGGTTTTGTAGTAGATTAAAAAGATAATAGTATTTTATTAATTATTAAAAATATGCAACATATTTTGACATTTATGTTATTTGATTTTACGTAAAAAAAAATGTATATATATAAATATATGTATAATGGTATATTTGTAATTAAAATAAAATTTAATAGTATTTTGATATTAATGTATAATTACTTTAATTATAAAAATTGAAGAGATACACGGACAAAAATGATAAAAAGATGATGAGAGATTATTATATTATTTCACAAAAATTAACATTCAACCTATTTAGTGTTTTGGTTTTATATATATTTTTTACATGGGATATAGAGAATTGCGTATATAATATAAAAAATACTAATATTTATGTTAAATGTTATTATTGTGAGATGATAAAATATAAATCTTTAAATTTTTATTTAAATAATATTTTAATATGATATTTTATAAAAAAATAAAATACTACCTCTACCTCTGTTTCATAAGAAAAGAATACTATTTTTTTGATTTTGTCGTCTCAAAACAATGATATCATTTTTTAATTTAATAATTACTACCTACTTAATATAATTAATACTTTTACAATTTTTAAATATTATTATTTTTATATCACATAATTTAATAAAAATATTTTTGTTATTTTCACTGTAATAAAATATAATATTAATATTAAAAAATTTATATGTAAAAAATAAATGTTACTCTTATTTCGGAACTGAATTAGTACTTAAAATTAAATTCCAAAATAACATATCAAATTGATTAAGAAGTGTTGGTGGGAAGGTGAAGAATATTGTCAAAGTCAAGCAGCTTTTAATTAATTTATTTTTTTAGTTTTCCACGAAGAAGAATTATTCGTCTAATAAAATATCAACCAGGAAAATGGACAACATACCTTCCAATCCAAGCCATGGACTTAGTCTAAACTCTATTATTAATGGAGATATACTGCTCCCTCCGCTCTAATACAATAATTTTGTCTACTATTTTTATTCGTTTCAAAACAATAATTTTATTTTCATAAATAATCATATCACCATAAAATTATCCATATTTTTTCATTATTATTACATAATTGCTACTATTTTTTACATTAATATACTCACAAAGACAAAAAATTTCGTATTTATTTTTACATTTTATCAACTACAAACATAATATCAATATTTTTTAAATATCGTGCCCAATACAATAAGGAGCAGAGAGAGTATGTGTTTAATATTTTTAATTTTTTATATATTTTTTTTTTATTTTAAATATAAAGAAGTAGTTTGATAATACTCCATCTGTCCCATAAAGAAGTATTCATTTGGAATGACTAAAATAACCTTATTAGTATGTGTGATATAAATGTAATGACATTTGTGTAATATATTGTAAGTTGTAAGAGTATTTGTAATGTTAGGTAGATAGTACAGTTACTAAAAAAAGAAATAAATACTTTGTTATGGGACGGACTAAAATGAAAAAATGAATATTATAGAACGGAGTGAGTATAATATATACAAAGAATCAGATAACAGTATTTTAAAAATATATATAAAATAAAAGATTAATTAATTAACTTGTTATGTTATTTGTAAAAGATTGTTTAATATTTGTATTTTTTTTTATTTTTTCTTTACTTTATAAAATTTGCATAGATTTGTATTTATTTTCAAATATCAGTTTTATATAAAAAAAAAATTAATTGTGTAAATTTTAATTTAATATGAAAAAATTTTATGCAATAAAATACTAGATATTTTGTAGTACATTTTTACTAAAAATATAGTGTTATATAATTTATCATATATAAAATAAACAAACCTTTTAATGCTTAATTTGTTTGCCTTAGGTTTCAATCCAAATGGTTACATGTGTGCTTAAGTTTAGTTAGGAGTGAGCAAAATATTTAAAAATATAATCCGAACTAAAGGTATTATAAAGTATATTTTATTATTATATACATCTTTAATATTTTAAGGAAAATAAAAATTAAAAAATATTAATATAATTATTTATTTATTACTCGTTCTCTACCGATATAAATTATTTATTTATTTATTACTCGTCAATCCTACTTATTAAGTCATTTTTTTTTAAAAAAAAATTATACATTAAATTCACATTTTAAATTTTATACTAATGGTAATTTTTAAATTTTTATTAGACTAATTAATTATTTTAACCTTAATTTATAATTACTTGTATTATATTATAATTAGTTTTACTAATATATTTCAAATCGTATCTATAGTAACACTAACACCGACATAATACCTGGACTATATATACTATATACTCCCTCCGTCCTGGATATAAAGTAGAATTAAATGACTAAAATGCCTTTACTTTTTTATTTTTTTAAGGATTTTAAAGAGTATGTTAGAGTAATAATTAAGAGTAGCATGAAAAAGTAGGAATAATTTTGTTATAAAGTGGGAACTACGACTACTAAATAAGGAAATAAGACAATTGTTTTGAGACGGAAGAAAATGGAAAAACAAAACAAATCTTTTGGAACGGAGGGAGTATTCAATAGGCTAGATTGCACAAAATCCACACATGATTTCACGAAATTATACGAAATCCCCCGTATTTTAAAAATTGCGTCAAACTCCCTCGCAATTTTATAAACTCTACATCTAAAATGCGAATAAATTTCAAATTTTCATTTATAAACCTCTCCAATTACAAATATAGTTATTATTTTTATTATTTAATCTAATATTTTTTTTAAAAAAAAAATACTATTCTTTAAGGCTAAATATAAAATAAATGAATATTTTATATTTTATAGTTTTGAAATAAGTATTATGAAATTTATTCACAATTTGAGCGCTAAGTAAAAAATTTGATAAATAAGAATGACAGTAAGGATTAGACGCAAACTATGAAGAGTTTGACACAATTTTGAAAGTATTATAATTTTGCACAATTTTGTGAAATGACATACTCCCTCCGTCTACATATAAAATAAACAATTATTTTTGGCACGATGTTTAAAAAATAATAGTATTTTAATTATAATGAATAATTAAAAGTAGTGTAATAATATCTTTAAATATTTAATGAAATATTTATTTTGTAATTGGACAAAAAAATATAATTTATATTCCATTTAACCTATTTAATAGCATAAAATAATTATAATTTTTTTTGAGAAAAATTAATAATAATATTACAATTTCGGATCATATTGATTTTTTTTTATTTGATTAAATTTTAATTCGAGTTTTAGATTTTTTGAACTTTCGATTTGACTCGAATTTTCAAACGAAGCAATTCGAATTTGACTAAAATCGAATAAAAAAAAGAAAAATTGCCTCGATGATATGCAACGTGGCGAGCAAATAGCTCAGCCACTTCAAGCTCAAATTCCTATTTGCAGCCAAGAACACCACTGCAGTCATCAATCAGCATCCCCAAAATCCCCAAATCAAAAAACCCTAGAATAATGCGAAAATGGATCCCGATTACAATCCGAGCAGGAAATCGCTGATCAGGAACAAATGGGTGTCGACTGCCGCCAGCATATGGATCCAGTGCACCAGCGGCTCGCTCTACACTTTCTCCATCTACTCCGGCCTCCTGAAATCCACCCAGGGATACGATCAATCCACCCTCGGCACCATTTCTGTGTTCAAGGATATCGGCGGCAACTCCGGCCTCCTATCCGGCGTCCTTTACTCCTCCGCAGGTGGACCTCGCTTCGTGCTCCTCGCTGGAGCAATCCAGTGCTTCGCCGGTTACCTTTTGATGTGGCTGACGGTTACGGGGACGCTGCCGCGGTCGCCGGCGTGGGTAATTTGCTTGTATATGCTCCTTACAGCTCATGGTGTGACTTTCTTCAATACCGCTGATGTTGTCACTGGAGTGCATAATTTCCCGAATTATAGCGGCACGATTGTGGGGATTATGAAGGTGCGTGGAATGATGAATTTGATGAGCTTTGATTAGGTATTCGATTGCACAGATTTAATTGCTGAATTTGATTTCATTTATTCAACTGCTCAATTTGATTCTGGAACATTTCGATTCGATTGCACATATTCAGTTGCTTAATTCGATTGCTATTTTATCTTCTGTTGATCAATTGTTTGAATTCATTTCCGTGGATTGCAAAAATCCCCAATCATCATATGGTTAATCTTCTTGTATGTATTGCTCAATTTGATTCTGGAACATTTTTTATTGCACAACTTCAATTGCTTAATTCGATTACTATTTAATCGTCTTTGGTTGATCAATTGTTTGAATTCCATTCCGTGGATTGCGAAAATCCCCAATCATCATATGGTTGATCTTCTTTCATTTATTGCTCAATTTGATTCTGGAACATTTTGATTCAATTGATAAGTTCAATTGCTAAATTCAATTACTAATTATCATCTTCAATTTGTGGAATAATGCTTATTCAAAGATGGGCTCCAATTAGTTTGCAGCTTATGTTGTTCTTCGTATAATTAGTTGAACAATAGGACAAGCGATTAGTTGCCCAGTGAGGATAAATTCAAGTGCCTAGAAAGTCGAAATTATGTGCGGTATTGCTGCAGATTTTGGCCTTCTTGATCTGTCCCGATTAAAATCTTCACTAGTAAATGATAAGTGCACTAATTACATCGCAATCGTTAGTTAACATTACTAACATAGAATGACTAGAGAATTGAATCGTAAAGAAATTATAGTAGATAATAGAATTGTTGAGAAAAAAACGAATTCAGTATCGAATAAGAATTGATTCTTTTGTTCAGTAAAATAGAAAATTAAAGTGAGAAATGTAAAAGAATACAATGAACCGGAAAGACGAAGTTTTGCAAGTGGAAAAAGAGAGTGATGAGAAAAAATCGAAAAATGAAGACGCCCTGCTCGTTTCTTAATATGCATTCATCTCAATTTCTCATTTATCAAATTTGAATAATTCATGTTCATGTAGTTTTCCGAATGTTTTTTTTTTTTTTTTTTTTTTTTATATTTGTTTGGTGGTAGCGAGTGCTCATTAACGATTTGGATGTTTCTGGTGATGATTTGTTGCGTAGCGTAACCTTTTCCCTTTTTCTCGATTTTTTACAGGGCTTTCTCGGATTGAGCGGAGCTATATTAATTCAGGTATACCAGACGATATTCAAGAACAAGCCCGATTCGTATTTACTACTATTGGCGCTACTTCCCTCGCTCAACGCGCTTCTGCTCATGTGGTTTGTGAGAATTCTCGAAACAAAAGAAGAAGACGAGAAGAAGCACCTCGACGGCTTCTCATTCATCGCCGTTGTTCTCGCCGCGTACCTCATGGCCGTAATTATCGTACAACACATTCTCCATTTAATTCTATCCCTACGAATCTTCACATTCGTTTTGCTAATTTTGTTGTTAGTGTCTCCTATAGTCGTCGCTATTAAAGCCCAGAGAGAGAAGTCTTACCGGATGCTAAAATCGCTTCTCGAACACAACTTATTCGCCGACGAAAAGGACCTGCTGGACGAAGAAATTATTCGCGACGACGACGTCGTAAACGGCGGAGAATCGAATGTTGCCAATTCGCAGTCGATCGGAGACCTAAACCTCATGCAGGCTATGCGGAAACTCAGTTTCTGGTTATTATTTCTCACGACGGCCTGCGCCGTCGGGTCGGGACTATCGACTGTGAACAATTTGAATCAGATCGGCGAATCGCTCGGGTATTCTTCGTTAGAGATTAATACTTTGGTTTCTTTATGGAGCATATGGAATTTTCTCGGTCGATTCGGCGCTGGTTATATATCCGATTATTTCTTACACGTCCGAGGATGTTCGAGGCCCTTGTTCATCGTGATTACTCTCGCTATTATGAGCGCGGGTCACGGCATGATCGCTTACGGTTTCCATGGTGCTTTGTACGTTGGCTCGATTCTTGTGGGCGTTTGTTACGGATCACAATGGTCGTTGATGCCGACCATTGCTTCCGAGATTTTCGGGAAAGCTCATTTTGGTACGATATTCAATACTATTACTGTTGCGGGTCCTATCGCGTCGTATATTTTATCCGTTCGGGTGATGGGATTTATTTACGACGAGGAAGCTTCCAAACACGGCGGTGGGACTTGTTTTGGGCCTCGATGCTTCCGGCTCGCGTTTGTTATTATGGCTTCGGTTGCTTTGTTTGGGTTTCTTGTCGCGTTGGGGCTGCATTTCCTTACGAGGAGCTTCTACAAAAATGTCGTGCATCGACGAGTTTTGATTTCGTCGCGCTCGAGTAGAATTGTGTATGATATCGAATGAATCGATGGAAATTTTGGTTTTGTTTTTTCTTTCAGTTTTTTTACTTGTTCGCTCCGGCATGTTTGGAGGGAGCGAATTTTACTGACAAAATTAATAAGTACTTTTATATTTCACATAAAAAAACTTAGTCAGGCCAGAAACTTTGTTTCTATGAATATAAAGTAGAATGTAAATGATTAAAATATCCTTGTTTTTTTAAGGATTTTAAAGAGTACGTTAAAGTAATAATTAGGAGTAGTATGGGAAAGTATGAATAATTGTGTTATAAAGTGAGTACCACGGCTATTAAATAAGGAAACAAGACAATTGTTTTGGGATGGACGAAAATGAAAAAACAAGATAAATTTTTTTGGGACGGAGAGAGTATATTACACATATTACTATAAATATATAACAAGTCCTCTATTTATCGTAGACCTAGGGCGGGCCTGAAAATAGTCCTTCAAATTATTTCATAAGAGGAACACACTCTTAAAAGTTCACATGGAAAATCTGAATCGGAAACGGTCGGGTAGAGTTGTGTATGATATTTGAATTGGTAGTGGTCGAGTACAGTCGTGTATGAAATATAATGGAAACACACTTTTAATAATTGCTTCGGCTGTAATAATCCCATTTTTTTTTTTTATGTTAATATTTGAATATTAATTACTCTCTTCGTCCCACATACTATATCCACGTTGTCGTTTATGTCCGTCCTATATTTCATGTTATTTTCTTTTTTTGGAAAGTGATTACACAGTTTAATCTCATTTTAAACATTTTAATTTATTTTTTAATTTTAATTAAATTAATTACTTATCTTAATTTTATTTTTATTTATATTTATATTATAAGATAATTATTTTCACTAATACATTATTAATTATCTACTAATTACATTCCTCCTAAAATACCGTATCTATACTGTAGCAGACCCTGTATGTGGGACGGAGGGAGTATTATATAAAAATATAATACAAATTAAAGAAAATTGACAAAAAATATTTTTATTAGTGTCTTATAATACTATTACAATAACATGTGTGTAAAAAATTATACAAATATAATAAATTTTTAATGTTAAGTATAATGACGCAAAAAATAAATGAAACCGGACATAGCTTGGAGTATTTGATGTAATATTTTTAAAAAATAAGTAGCTTCAAAATTGACATTCTACTGCTGTCTAAACAAAGCTAAAGATTGTATTGTTTTGTGAGTTTAAACACTACAGGCTGGAGCAAAACCCCGGAAGAGACTCCAACTCGTTCTGACCCCAGGTCACGTACCGCTTTAATAGGCTGATGAAAGGCTGCCTTCCTCCTTCACCAACCCACTCCTGGATAAACAACTTGTTCCTTCTGAATCAGGAGATCGGGTCTTCGGCTAACGCGGGCGCCGTGGAGCAGGCCCAAGAGCTGTAGCTGAATGGAGAAGGAGGGGTAAGGGCAGACCGCAGCGGGTTGGGTTAAGAGGATTCGATGTTGCACCATTTTCAGCCGGATTTGGAAATTCAAGTTCAAGAGTCAGCCAGCTTCAAAAGGAAAGCCAGCCGCTGCGCCTAAACTTTTTTTAAAAATATTATTAAATAAATAATAATTTTATTTTTTTTATTAGGAAAAAAAAAATGTATGATTTAATATTTATGCATTTTAACACGTTTGTTCAGTGATCATTAATTATGTATGTGTCAATTAATAACAGCAACGTCAAAGAAACAACAATGGAGGACTCGAGAAATAAGAAAAAGTAAAACAAAAAATGGAGATGCGGGGTATCGATCCCCGTACCTCTCGCATGCTAAGCGAGCGCTCTACCATCTGAGCTACATCCCCTTACATTTGATCAAAGCCGCCACTTTGATTAGTGAATTTTGTATCTCTGCCCATTACTCTAACCCTTTTGGATTCAGGAATGTACGTCAGTTATAACTTTCAATTACATTGTGGATTCTGCTTATCAGTTCGATTGGAAGTTATTTGATTCAATGGAAATTCAACAAATGAATTATTCCTCGGAGTTTCTTCCTTGTTTCAGGTACGCTTTATTATTATTCCGATTTTGGATTAAGAACAATCTAGAATGAGAAAATTTGAACCTAGTCTGTTTGTGTGGTGTTGATATACATGATTGATTGATTACTTACAGTTGCAATCAAATGCTATTTGTTGTTGTTCTTATTTAATTGCTTTTCATTTTTTATTTGATTCATTCAACAACAGCTCTAATCATATAAAAATGGCGTGCGATTGTGAAATTTTGTCGCGATTGATGACAGATGTTGGTATAAATTAATGTTTATCATTACGACTTGAATTGTTTATGATGTTTGAATAGATTTATTTGGTGAAGGGATTATCATCTGTATATTCAACTAGCCAAGATTCATCTGTCCAGACTAGGATATAAATATAATTGTTTATCCGTTGTTCTATGCATTCTTCATTATTTTACTGAATTATACAAATCAAAGAGTTGTTATTTTGTGTTTTGTAGATTATTTATTCATTTTTTCTTAAATAAATGAAATAGTTGTTGGACGTGATATGTTGTATGGAAAATGAGATTTATTATTTCTTTTCATTGAAAATGACTATATATTGTTGAAACAATTGTAAAAAAATAAAAAGAAAAAAAGAATGTCGACTAGGTTGTGTTCGTTTGCAGTTTTATTTTGGTTTTTGGTTCGAATGTTAGATTTAGATGTGATGATTCTTGAGAGAAACATTGTATTTTTATAGGCCATCATGATTATAGCACAGTAAAAATTTGAAACCAAACTCTAAAAGAGATATTGCTCTTAAATCAATGATATTTCCCCTGTTATAGAAATGCATACTCAAATATTTAGACACGGATCAATGAAAATAAATAAGAATTGTTATTTTCTTTGTCTTTTAAAATAAAAAAGACAAAAAGTTATGAAAAAAAATGAGAATATTTTTTTTTTTTTGACAATTTAAAAAGAAAGTAAACATAAATAATTAATATGCTAACTTTAAATCTACAAAATGCTGAATATGTTTGAATAATATGTTGTTCAACGCATACAAATCGATGAGCAAATTTTCTATTGCATATAGATGTGGACATGTTAGATATAGCTTGGATAATAGAACTATTGGGTGTGTTTTTATTGTGTTTTTGTTTTCGATTCTTTATTTAAATATTTTTTTAGGTGAAAAAGTTGTTGGACATGATTACGTTTTTTTTTTTAAAATAAAAGATTAAATAGTAAAATACTTAAACACAAAAGAACAAATTAATGTTCAATAATTTAGTCATGTTCTTTTCTAATAATAAAACTTATATTCTCTTATTGAATATTTTCTGAAAATATTGTATACAAATAACTTATTTTTCGAATACAATTCTTTATATACCACTGTATATATTGCTGATTTAAAATATACAAAATGCTGATTTAAATAAGCATCGGATCTGCTGCGCTGTTCTGTTCGATATGTGTTTGCAGAGCAAATCTTATCCTTCAAAAGAAAGTCTGTTCCAAATTTTATTTTATTTCTTGTTCTTGAATTGTTTGATGAATCTGGAAAAATGGGAAGCAGAAATAACTTCACTACTGTTATTCTTCTCTTGATGTTGTTGCAGTTTCTTGATTCTTATTTTTCTTTGCCTCTGTGTACTGATTCAAGTAAGTTTCAGACCCAAAAATTATTTGTCGGAAGTTCCGAATGTTGACTAATGGCTTATGTCTGATTTCACTACATACTGCAGGAGCTCCATTTGCTCTAAAATCTCCTCTACAGTTCTGTCCCTACAATGCCACCAGTTGCTGCAGCAGCGACGACGATTTAAGTTTGCAGAAGCAGTTTGAGTCTATGAATGTTTCGGATCCTGGCTGTGGTTCCATCCTCAAGTCGATTCTTTGCGCGGTAAGAATAGTAAAACCTCGTATATTTTTCTTGTTTTCATGAATGAGTCGCGGTTTCGTATTGAGTAATTTGTGTTTTGTTACATCCAGATGTGTGATTAGTTTTCCATTTTCCTGTTGGATTGAGTGTTTTTGTCTTGTTATTACAACCAGAGGTGTGATCGGTTTTCGGGTTTTCCTGCTAGATTGAGTGTTTTGTGTTTTGTTATTACATTCAGATGTGTGATCAGTTTTCGATTTTTCTGTTAAATTGAGTATTTTGTGTCATATTACATCTAGAGGAATGGTGAGTTTTCAGGTTTCCAGTTGGATTGAGTATTTTGTGTCTTATTATTACATCCAGAGGTGTGATGAGTTTTCGGATTTCCCGTTGGATTAAGTATTTTGTGTCTTATTATTACATCCAGAGGTGTGATCAGTTTTCGGGTTTTCCCTTGGATTGAGTATTTTGTGTCTTATTATTACATTCAGAGGTGTGATGAGTTTTCGGGTTTCCCGTTGAATTCAGTATTTTGTGTTTTTTTTTTGATCGGCGAGTATTTTGTGTTTTAATACTACATAGAGGTGTGATGAGTTTTCAAGTTTCACGTTAGATTGAGTATTCTGTGTCTTATTATTACATCTATAGGTGTGATGAGTTTTCAGATTTCCGTTGGATTGAGTAGTTTATCTTATTACTACATCCAGAGGTGTGATCAGTTTTCGGGCGAGCTTTACCGAGTTGTCTCTGTTCACCGGGAGATTCCTGTGCTGTGCAACTCCACGGTTTCGTCAAACTCGCCTCAATCCGAGCAACCTCAGACGGACTTTTGTTCGAAAGTATGGAGCGCTTGCGAGAACGTATCTATCGTGAATTCGCCGTTTGCTGCTACATTGCAAGGCCGAGTCGGAGAACCGGTGAACTCATCGAATTCAACAAAACTAACTGATCTATGGAAGTCGCAAACAGATTTCTGCGAAGCTCTCGGGGGAGGATCATCGGATGATGAATCGGTATGCTTCGACGGCGCTCCGACAACTTTAACCGACGGAACAACGTCTTCTCCTCCGAGCGGGATGTGCATCGAGAAAATCGGGAACGGAACTTATCTGAACATGGCAGCTCACCCGGATGGCTCGAACAGAGCGTTTTTTGCGAACCAGCAGGGCAAGATATGGCTGGCGACGATACCCGAGCAGGGCTCGGGAGGTACATTGGACATCGATGAAACGAACCCATTTGTAGATATTACCGACGAGGTTTATTTTGACGTCGTGTTCGGACTGATGGGAATAGCATTCCATCCGAGATTCGCAGAAAATGGTCGATTCTTCGCGTCGTTCAACTGCGACAAGTCCTCGTCGCCGAACTGCGCTGGAAGGTGTGCGTGCAACTCCGACGTGAATTGTGATCCTTCGAAGCTGACCCCGGATAACGGCGCGCAGCCTTGCCAGTATCAAAGCGTTGTGGCAGAGTTCACGGCAAATGGATCGAGCTCGGGAACTTCATCGGTACAAACACATACTGAATCTTAACTTTCGATATCGAATTTGACTTTGACGCTCAATTTTTTCGGCCAGGCGACGAACGCTAGCCCGTCAGAAGTGCGACGGATATTCACTATGGGACTTCCCTTTACTTCTCACCATGGAGGGCAAATTCTTTTCGGACCTCAAGACGGCTATTTGTACTTGATGATGGGAGACGGAGGAGGCGACGGCGATCCGTACAATCTCGCTCAAAACAAGAAATCGTTGCTCGGAAAGATCATGAGGTTCGACGTTGACACAATGCCAAGTAAGTTATACCGAAAATACGGTATATCGTTCATATCATACCAAAGAAACATAAAAAATGCCATATTTTCGATATACAGTAATTTTTGGTACGGTATCGTAGATTTTTTATATGATAACGGTATAAAATTTTGTATATTATGACATATTGTTATTTGTTACCATACGACAAGTTTAGGCTTTGCTTAGATAGAGGTTTTTGGAAGTTTGAAAAAAAATAAAATTAAAAGTTAGTATTTGATGTGATTTTTGTGAGAAAAAAAGTTATTTTGTTATTTTTTGATATAACGGTAGTTTTATGTTATACTATTAATTTTGATATATTAATTTTCAATATGATATACGGTATACCCATATATCAAAAAGATCAGTACGGTATCAATATGAAAATTTTTATACTGGATGTTTTCGGTATATCGTAATTTGTATTACCGAATGGTTCATTACAATATCAACATGATAATTTTATCAGTATTTATGGTACGGTATATAGTGTAGTGTAAGATTTCCGATATATTATACCGTGCCACTTTTAGGTAAGATGCTCATTTAATATTATATCATAATGTAGTTATAAACTTTTAAACATTTTCGATTTCAGGCGCAAATGATGTTGATAAGCTCGATCTTTGGGGAAACTATTCGATTCCCAAAGACAACCCTTACGCCGTCGACAAAGATTTGCAAAAAGAGATATGGGCTATCGGGCTACGAAATCCATGGCGATGCAGCTTCGACTCTGCAAGGCCATCGTATTTTATCTGCGCGGACGTAGGACAGGTGAAGTTTACGAGCCTCATATAAGGTTTTTTCGAAATTTCTTGAAATGATTTTCGACAAAGTGTTGTTTGTTCTTTCAATTAGGATCAATACGAAGAGGTCGACTTGATAACTAAGGATGGGAATTATGGGTGGCGCACTTACGAGGGCCCTTACCCGTACGTGCCTACTCAGTCGCCGGGAGGAAATACGTCGGTAGCGTCGATCAATCCGATATTTCCGGTGATGGGATACAATCATTCCGAAGTGAACTCCGGCGAAGGCTCGGCGTCGATCACCGGCGGCTATTTTTACCGGTCGATGATTGATCCTTGCTTGCATGGAAGGTAACTTATTCACTATTCAGACCATATATGGCGTAGGCTCTGTTTACATAGAAAAAAATTATAAATATTTAAAAATTGAATATTTGATCTTTTTTATGAAAAAATTATGATTTTTTTTTAAAAAAAAAAATTATGGTCGGATAAGTAGTACTATTTCTGTCCCACATAATCATGTTTTATTTTTAATTTTTGTCTGTTCGCTGTGCTATATCACTTTTTATATTTGGATAAATATTTTACATTTTAATCATATTTAAATTTTAAAATTTTATAATTTTTATTAAACTAATTAGTTATTTTATTATAATTAATTTTAGTAATACATTCTTAATTATTTATTAATCATACCATTTTTAAATTTTAATATAATGTATAATCTATATTTTTGTTTAGAATAATGGTTTCAACATAATGTTAATAAATACTCCATCCTTAATTATGCCACTTTGTTTAGTAAAATAATGATATTTTAATATAATAGTATAGTAGATAAAAGTAAAATGAAAATATTATAGAAAATCTATTAAATAATTGATGAAAAAGTGATGCTTGAAACATAAATAGATGTTTTTACCTTTTATGTTTTTTTAGCATAATAATGCAATCAAATAGATGTTAATTTATTTTTTTATATATATTTTTTCCCAAAAAGTTTCATCATAATGTTTTTTAGTTCGATTTAACAATTTATTGTTTTTCCGCACATAATTCTTTTTTTTTTTTTTTGTAGATATTTGTTCGCGGATCTTTACGGTAGTTCTATATGGGCGGGCACCGAAAGCCCCATCAACAGTGGAAAATTCACGAGCGCCAAAATTCCATTCAAATGTGCGAGCGACTCTCCCTTGAGGTGCACGATCGTGCCCGGAATTGATCTTCCCTCGCTAAGCTTCATTTTCTCCTTCGGCGAAGACAACAAGAAGGATGTTTACCTACTTACAAATAGTGGGGTTTATCGAATCGTTCATCCTAGTCGTTGCAATTATACTTGTGCTAAGGAAAATGCCTCGACCACGCCTTCCAGGGATCCTTTTTCTCCTCCATCGTCTAGAGCAAGCTCATTGAGAGGTTCGTATTTGCTTTTGAATTCGAGTTTTTTCATTTTGACTTCATATTTTGTGTTTGTTTTTTCTTGAATGTTGTTGTCTACAATGGTGATATGATATATGCTTCTCCTTGGGGTTGACTGTGTTAATTTATGTGAAAAGGAGAAAAGGATAATATAGGTCTATATTGTTTAAATTCGATAAAATTCATTTTATAAATTAAAGAGTCATAAATTTAAATTTTGACTTTATTTTCGAGCCTTGTTTACAAACATAGAATAGTCTTTATTAAAAACCTTAAATCTAGATTATATATAGTAATTTAGATAAAGTTTTAATAATTTGAAAAATATATATATATTTACTACTCCTTTTGTTATTCAAATCTATTTTTACTTTTTTTTTTTTTTTTTTTTTTTTGTTATTCAAATTTGGGAGTGGATTGTGTGCTGATTTTTTAAAATCAACACACATGCTGATCATATAAATATAAATTATGTGTGCTGATTTTAAACAATCAGCACACGATCCCTTCCGTTCAAATTTATTATTATTTTTTTTAGTAACAAAATACCATTTTTTTTTTATTTTTTCATTACTCAAATAAGTAAAAGTACCTATTTTTTTTAAAAAATTCGCGCTCGAGTAAATGAGTATACAATTGGATGAAATTGAACGACCGGAGGGAGTACATTTTATTGTCAACTAATTAATTGAAATAGGAATATATGTGGGGCATTGAGTACTAACTAGACTAGAACGGTTAAATGAACTAAGTTGTTTGTGAGCTTGATTTTGAACTTGATTCGATTCAACTCGGTTAAGTTTGTTGGCGAACATAAACAAATTAAATCGAACATAAATACGAATTTATTTGAGCTGAACACAAACACGAATTCGAACCTTAAAATTGCTTAATAATTGAGCTCGAATAATACAAACGAGCTCGACTGCTTATCAAAGGAACATAAATCTTGTTTGCAAAAACGAACGCAAACACTTAAAATGTTATTCGTTAACAAACCTTAGTTTGCAAATATTAATGAACAAATACTTAAAATTTTGCTCCATTTAATAGCTCTAGCGCATGAAAATATTCCTGTAAACTACTTAAATTCCAAATAAAACCATCATATTCCGATCCCAAACTGTACACTTCTATATATATATATATATATCCCTTCAAATTATCCCAGCAAACAAAATCAAAAGACCTAAAACAACAAAAACATTTGAGATTCATAGAACATACATATATCTATATATAGATATATATATATATAACTATAGATATATGTATATATATATACTTCCATCCTCGGATGAACACAGCTCCGACACTCCTCGAACACCAAGTAAACGAAAAACACGACGTTTCAAGAAAGACTTACCGGCGTCCCTCCAAGAAGTGTTCGCAGTCGCGCGCATCCGGAGGCTTAGATAACACTATCGCTGCAAAATTTGTCCATCCGATTGTTTCCAGGCAGAGAGAGGTCGAAGAAGCTCTGTGGTTGTCGATACTGTCGGTGATCAATCAATCGTAATAATAATAATAGCCGAGTGTCATCTCACATTGCAGCACGACGGCCTGCCTTGCTTCTCGAGTTTGTTCCAGAGACAGATCATCTGTCGAGGGGACTGGTAATGCGCGGTTATGTAGTCGTCGATGCACCCGAACTGGCAGAACTTCAAGCTGTGGACGTACTCCACGGGCCGGGTGCTGTTCACCTTCTCGACCCACATTCCTACGCTCACGTCTTCCATTTTGAACAGCTGCCAAAACGTCGAAGAGATTCATTAGTTAGGTTCCGAGGAGTAGTAACTCTCGTTTACGTATTTTTCAAATCATTCTAGGCACTATTCATCGACCGGTATATTTAACTATATTTAATCAAATACCAAATTTTCATTTAAAATATTACGGACGGACTCTACTTACATAGACATTTTTTAAAATTTTTAACTATCTATATTAAATCACATACCAAATTTTCATTTAAAATATTACAGACAGACTCTACTTACATCAACATTTTTTAAAATTTTTAACTATTTATAATTTTATTTTAAAAAAATTACATCGAATAATTATTTTCTCTAACAAAACACTATCATATCAATTATCAGATATTACCTCCGTCCGACTCTAAGGATCGCATTTTAATATTTGAATATTAATTATTATATCAAAATATAGTACAAATAAAAAAAAAAGTCTTATAATACTATTAATGGAACGACATTTGTAAAAATAAAAAAAAAATTATACAAATATAAAAATATTTTTAGTGTTAATAGAATGACGCAAAAGTAAATGTAACCTTAGAGGCGGACGGAGGAGTGTATTAACCTTTTTTACAATTCCAAAATTTTCCAAAACTTTTATTCGAACTTTTTACCCTTTTTTAAATTCTCCAAAACACTACCACATTATATAAAAGTATATATATATTTTCTACATAAAACATCATATCTAACTACCGGTTTCACCTAAAAACAATAAAAACTAGAAAACCTATAAAACATAACCACCCAAACACATTTTTCCAAAATATATTTAAACACAACCTATAATGATTCTTCGAACAAAACAGTCAGATGGATTTGTTTCTTCTCATTTAATATACGTACCCGTAATTTGTTGCTCTCAAAGTCGGCAAGAATAGGACGCGCAATGTCGGACGACACAATGTAGCCTGGCCCGTTGGCGTATGGTGGGTATTCTTCCTCCGGCCATTCCTGAACCACCAAAAATATCGAATAAGAATAACCCCAAGTACATATCACCATCGTACAAAATATTGAAAAAGGCTCGTATGGAAAAAATTCAAACCAAAATATATAATCCTAGGACCTTCCGGGATTTGCAATTCTTAAAAAGTACGAAGGATTATACGGTCATTTTCCTAAGGGTTTTTAACCATACGGTATTTTACGAGGGGTTACATTAGCAATTTATCCCAAAAAGTAAACTTCTCCAGCTAAAATAACTTTCAACATATTTGAGCTAAAGAAAACGGCACCAACTAACGGATTTAATGAAGCAATCATAGCCGATGGCCCAATTAATCAAAATGACATTAAGCAAGGATGGACCGGACCACACGGTATGAAAACATGGGGCATAGGTTGTAATAATAAAAAAGTAGAACCATATGATGATGCAAGAATAATAATCAACCCGAAAACCAAAAATCGAGAGTTTTTAAATAACAATACCTCATACGTAACAGACCATTTACCACTGCGCAAAGGCTTGTGATAGTAATTTATGTTTCCGATGTACAGACTCTTGCCTGCCGGGACTTTCTTCGCCTCGCTGATGATTGCATCAACTCTCACGAACGTGTCATCGTCGCCCTTCATTATGTACTTTGCGGATAGAGTCCGCACCTGCGATCGAATTTGATTATGTAAGGAATGGGACGGAAGAGAATGTAACACAGGAAATTGTTTTGGCGTTTTACTCACCCCGTAGTCGAAGATGGCAACGGTTTTCAGCACGACGAGGTCGTAATTGTCCATGTACGGAACTATTACAATGTCTTCGAAAAACTCGGCTTCCTTCTTTACCTCTATATTCACCTCCTTCCTCGCATGCTGCGCAAGTATCGTTTCGAATCAGTTCCAACAGCTTACACATAACAATTTTCGAAGAAAAGGCAACATTTTTTTTAATCAAAATAAATTTTAATATACGCACCAATGCGACGAAGAAACGAGCAACCACATTCGAAGATTTGATAAGCTTGTGCTGCATCCAAGACTTCCTCACAGCCATCCTTTCAGCAAAGTGGTTGCCAGCCGACAGAATGCCGATGAACAGCTCGACCTGCCCGTTGCTAACAGGAGGTGCTTTCCATATTTCGGACAAATCGAGATGTCTCTGAGGAGCAAAACTGGGGTGCGTAGTTGGGAGCGAAGCCGCGAAGATCGAATGCGCATCGACATCTCCATTCAACGATAATCCGGTGGCGTCCTCGAGCGTAAAACCCTAAATACAGTACTCAGATCGTTAAGCATTTTTCTTCGACAAAAAATTAGATGAAAAACACAAGAAAGTCACTCACGGTACGATATGGGAACGAGGTGACATGTCTCCCGTCGACGCTGACATGGTAGCCTTCCAAACCGGCGCTAAGAGTCAGCACAAATAACTTTCCTTCGGCGAAAGGGAACGGCCAATCGATCGAGACCTTATTAGTCCGTCCTATTAATCGCTTTAGCCACCATGTAGCTTTCGATTCCTCCGACCCATTGTCATCATCCCGTATCCACTTGTCGCATTTCACCAAACCATCAACTGTAAAATCACACGTAGAAAAATCGAAAAAATGATCAAGAAACAAGCCATTAAAGAACCCCGACAACAACTAGCTATCGAAATGCCACAAATAATTTGACTAACCAACACTTGTCTAGTCTACCTTCATGGAAAAAATCGACTTCCCTCAAAAATGGCATGTGCAATAACTACATGGATCAAACCGAAATTAAATGAGGCAACCTCTGTACCCCCACGAACAATTTTGAGAATTAAATCGACTAACCCAACACTTGTCTAGTCTATCTTTACCCAAAAAATCAGACTTCCCTAAAAAATGGCATATGCAATAACTACATGGATCGAACCAAAAATCAAATGAGGAACAATTTTGCATATTCAAAAGCACAATCATCACAATGCAATCGACCAACCAACACTTGTCTAGTCTACCTTCACCAAAAAAATCGACTTCCCTAAAAAAAGGCATGTGCAATAACTACATACATCAAACCGAAAATCAAATGAGGCAACCTCTGTCCCCTCACAAACAATTTTGTAAATTCAAAAACACAATCATCACAATTTAATTGACTAACCAACACTTGTCTAGTCTACCTTCACCAAAAAAATCGACTTTCCTCAAAAATGGCAATATCCAATAACTACATGGATCGAACCGAAAATCGACTGAGATAAACTCTGCCCCACAATGAACAATAATGCAAATTCAAAAGCACAATCATCACAATTCAATTGACTAAACAACATTTGTCTTGTCTACCTTCATCTAAAAAACCGACTTCCCTAAAGAATGGCATATGCAGTAACTACATGGATTGAACCGAAAATCGAATGAGGAAACCTCTGTCCCTTAAATTCAAAAGCACAATCATCACCAACAACCCTATCGAAAAAGTGCAGAGCTACAATGGAACTTTTAACTGATAATCACTGCTGCTTTCCTCAAGAACACATAACATAAACCATCAATTCAGCTTGATCGAATCCAATCCAATCCAATCTTCAATCAGAGAATTTAATCAAACAATCACGAAATAGACAAAGAAATTGCTTCACACTCACCTGTCTCTTCGTCGGCGCGGGACCGCCACCCCTCGCACCTTTGGGATGTCCCCCACTGCATCCTGTAACAGGTGTTCTGCTCAATCACAGGCTTCCCGCTCCAATCTCCTTTCAATCGAGGATTAAAATGGAGGATTCTCGGTGGATCTTCACCTTCCACCGTCTTCAGCCCCTGCAGCTCCATCATGAACTGCGAAACCATCACATACTGACCTTCATTCAGCAACGAGATCTTCGGGTCCGTTTCGGGATGAGCTGCTCTCGGAATCCCTACAACAGTTATGTGCGAACCTAACGTCAGTCCACAGGGAAGCACCATCACTCTCCCCTTCTTCGAGAATTCATCGCCGTTTATCGAAATCGAGTGTGGACAGAGCTCAGAATTGCTGCGGTTGAGGTTTGCGGAACTTCCGAATTCCGAATTCGTGACGTTCATATCCATCGATTCGAGCTCGCGCCACACCTTGCTGCCGAGATTGAGCGCATACTTCGCGGAGCTCGAAATTCCACTCTCCACCCCCAAATTAGCAATGCCGGCGCTGAAATTCAATCCAGACAGAGGCGTTCTACCGACCTCCTTGATCTTCCTCTCCGGCCTGGATTTCTGCGGAAAATCGATCGGACGGCTCTTCTTCCTCCCCAAACTGCTTTCACTCTCCACCAAAAACGAATTCGAATGCGACAATCCGTTGCTGCTCCCGAACAACCCTTCCTGCGACACCGAACCGAATAACACGAACGGAAACTCGAAAATCACCAAAATAAGGTACAGAATCCCCAACACAATCAGCAAACGGACTGATCTCTGCCGACTCAGCGAAAACAGGAGGTCCGAATTCGCCCTTTTCATGTTCGATAAACCTCTCCGCCGCTCCAAATCCGACTCCAAATCCGTCCAATTCAACCCCCCCAACCCCCAGCTGACCGATCAAACCCTCCAATAAAGCAGAAACAACGCGACAAATTACAGACTACGTCTCTATGAGTGAGAATTCGCGGAAGAACGGCCGCAAAAATCCCCAATTAAAGAAGCAAACAAGAGAAGCGAGAGCGTCGTTAGGTCAGCAACGCATAGCTGCTTGCCTGCGCCAGCCAACACGTCTCCATATGAGCAAGAGGTGCTGTACTTCCCTCTTTCTCTCTCTATATATATATACACACAGCTGTACGTATAGGTGGAGTGAGAAAGAGAGAGAAGAGAGAAAGGGGCAGCCTTTCTTTTGGGGCGGTCGCCTTTTTTTATTTTCTTTATTTTTATATATATATTTTTTGATAAATGGGAATCAACGGAATATTTGGAATTCTCTTTTTAAATTTAAAAAATTTGAATAATTTGTTAATTTATTATTTAATCTGCGCCGTTGATTATTTTTAAATTAAATTTTTTTGAATAATTTATCATTTAGCGAGGAAGATTCTTTCGGGGTATGGTCAATGGTGGGAGAAATGTACAAGATGTGGTGCATAAGGTACAACGCGTGGATTGCGTTCGTACGTACGGTTTATTTCGTAAGTCGGTTAAGTTAGGCGGAAAAATAGTTATTAGTTCATTGTGGAGTAATTAATTTTTAGGGTTTTCAGTAATTACGAATTATTATTATTATTATTATGAATTTTAATAATATAATTCTCTCATTGGCTACTTTTGATAATACTTTTACTTTAAATATTTGTAAAAATAATTATTATATAATACAAATAATTATATATTAAAATTAATATAATTAAATAATTTTAATTAAAATTTAAAAAATATATAAAATTTAAAATATATAATTATTTTTCAAAAATAGAAAAGAAAAAAATAAGAGACTAACGAAAAAAAAAAAATAAATATTTTATACGGAACGAAAAAAAATAATCCCTCCGTCTTAATAAAATAGTCCTGTTTATCATTTTTGTCCGTTTCAAAAAATAGTCTCATTTCTTTTAATAATCATATCACTATAAAACTATCCTTATTTTTTCATTATTATTACACAATTGCCACTATTTTTTAAGCTAATACATTCACAATGATAAAGAAAAATTTTATTCATACTTTTTTATCAATTACCAAGATAATATCAATATTTTTTAAATCTCGTATTAAACACAATCCAAACTATAATTTTGGGACGAATGAAGTATATTTTTATTAAAATATATACATCTAAAATAGTAATTATTTGTGTTTGAAATTATAATCAAACAAAATTATTTTATTTTAGTTTGAATACCATGATGACTAAATAAATTTAAAATTCAAACAAAACATAAATTTAATGGACCAATTTATAAAAGGAGCCTTTTGTAGAAACCTTCATTTATTGAATGGAAACCAACAAAATTATACTCCCTCCGTCCCAAATTTAAATATCCATTTATTTTTTGCACGTAATTTTAAAAATATTAGTATTATATTGAAATATAGTAGAAATAAAGGAAAAATGACTAAAATAACTTTATTAGTACGTGTGATATAAAGGTAATAACATTTGTGTAATATATTATAAGTTGTAAGAGTATTTGTAATGTTTGGTAGATAGTACAGTTACTAAAAAAAGAAAATTGATATTTTGTTATGAGACGGACTAAAATGAAAAAATAAATACTTTTGTTATGGGACAGAGGGAGTATTGAAAATGGCACAAGTATTATTTGTAATTTAATTGAAATATTTTACCTTTTTTCCTATATTTTATTTTAAATATTTTTATACATTATTTGGAACGAACCATTTGGATTTAAATAGTAAAAGAAAATTGTAAATACTTTAAAAAGGCTAAAATTAACAGTGAAATGTGTGTTCAATTTGAGTTTTAATTTAAATTTAAATTATTCAATTTATACATTTTTAGTAAAAATATGTAGTGAATTTTTATAAAATATCATATAAAAGTATTATTTAATTTTTAAAAATATTATTTCAATTAAAATTAAAATAAAAAACTCTCACGGTAAACCAAAGAAATCTTTATGATATAATGCATATGATGTATTAATTAATACATCAAATCGGTTTGATTTTAATTTGAAATTGATTTAAAATAAAATATTATATTTAAATTTTAATTTAAATAATATTTGATGATAAAAAAATTATATATATATTTTTTCTTTATTGTGAATTGAATGAATTAAATAGTAATATTTTTTATTTAAAATAAAAAAATAAACACTCATATTTTTTATAGTTTACTTTTAATAAAATTATAAGAAAAAATAAAATAAAATAAAATTGATGAAAGCAAGTTGTTTTTTTAGTGAAATTAATGATAATAATGCTTTATAAGTTGGACTTGTATTGTACAATATAAAATATAGTGGGTGTGTTTGTTTAGTATAATAATTTGTGGTATTTTTTTATATAAGGTATAATGAATTATTTTGGGAATCCGTATTGACTTTTGAATATTAATTATTATATTAAAATATAATATAAATTTAAAAAAATTACAAAAATATTTCAATTAGTGTCTTATAATACTAATAGAATATCACTTGTACAAAAAATTATACAAATATAATGATATTTTTAATGTTAAGTACAATGAAAAAATAAATATGAATCTTAAAGACAGATGGAAAGAGTATTTTTGTTAAATATATATATATATATTTAAGAAAGTAAAATAAATATTATATATATTATGTAGATGTAAATATACATTATATATTCATATAATATAATTAAAAAACATATATACTCCTTCCGTCCCTTAATAAAGTATCCATTTTTCTATTTTAGTCTGTCCCATAACAAAGTATCTATTTTCTTTTTTAGTAACTGTACTATCTACCTAACATTACAAATATCCTTACAACTTACAATATATTACACAAATGTCATTACCTTTATACCACATATACTATAAGATTATTTTAGTCATTTCTACTCTATTTCTACTATATCCCAATATAATACTAATATTTCTAAAACTACGTACAAAAAATAAATGAATATTTAGCTACGGGACAGAAGAAGTATTTATTTTGTTGGCTCAACCCAACATAAGACTTTTTTTTTTTTTTTAATTATTTTACCATTCAGTTAATAAACTTATTTTACATACAAAATATTAAATTTAATTATTATTTCAACTAAAAAAAAAGCCAAACCTTAATAATACGAACCAAACACAGCCTAAAACACAATCAAACACACTTTTGGAGGATTGGATTTTAAATATACTATTCATCTCATTTTTTTCCCAAAAAAATCAAAGCAAACACTTAATTTTTTATATTATACTAAAAATTAATTTTACATTCAAAACGTCACATCAACACATATTTATATCATATCATACAACTATTCAAATTCAAAATTTTTACTATTTAAATTCAAACTCAAAATCCAGACCTCCAAACAAACACACCCTAAACAAACAAATTAATAAGTAGTACGTAATTTTAAGTAACAATGTCAAATTGTAATTAAGATATTGCATTGCATACCAAATTAAAAGCTTTGCCTATGCTACAAAGTTGAATATATAATACTGGAATTATTATTATTTTAAATAAATTTTGAGTAAATTAATATTTATTTTTCTGAACATTAATTATTTAATGAATATTATCATTATTATTATTTTATAAAATATTATATCAAATATTTTAAAACTAAAAAGTCAAATATAAAATACAAAAAACAAAGTTTAAAGAGAATATACCTTACGAATTTGTTCTTTTTTAGTTTTTTTTTTTTCGAAATAATCATTGAATGTAATAGTTTGTATTAAAAATTATATATTGTTATAAAATATTATAATTTACATAATAATTTTTGAAAAAAAGATTATTAAAAAAAATTAATGTATTGATTTAGTATTTTTAGTTTGAAGTAATTTTTTAATGTTAAGTATAAGAAGTGTATGGTAATACTACATAAAATAGTTACTGATTTTTTATCATTTTAATTTCGTAATTAAAATTTGTATAAAAATAATTGGCACCGCTTGGCACGTTGGCGCACACGTGATATATATATATTTTTTATATATATTACTACCTCCACATCCGTCTGCCCGCAAATATTACATAAAAGGATAAAAATAATTTTATTAATATTTTATAATATTAATATAATATTATTTGTATAACAAATATATAATATAAAAATATTTGTAATATTAAATATAATGTAACAAAATACAAATATAACTCTGGGAGTAGGTTAAGGTTATTTTGAATGAACACGGTTAATGTATATCAATATGTAAAACACACATATGTAAAATGTGATTTGTTGGACCGGAGCCCATTGAGATCAGGTTGACGCAATGATTAGTTGTACTCTGGATGTGCTTCCAAAAGTTGTACCTTACAATTGTCAACAACCATAAAGCTTCAATTGTTTTTGTCCAGTTCGGACATTTGTGTAGGCCACGTGACACTTTTTTTCGACATAGCCGTTATCGCTATCATTTATTATTACTATATATATATTTTTTAATATTCCAAAGCAAAATATTTTAAATTTTAAATAACTGTCATGTATCAAATGTTCCCAAGATTTAAATTTTCTAAAAAATAATAAAAAATTACAATTTAAAAAAATATTTGTGAGAAAAAAAAATATATTTATATTTGCGTCATTGTATTTAACATTAAAAATATTTTTATATTGTATAATTTTTTGTACAAATGTCTTTCTATTAGTATTATAAGACACTAATGAAAGTATTTTTGTAATTTTTTCTTAATTTGTACTAAATTTTGATATAATAATTAATATTCAAATACTAACACCCGAAAAGTAAACGAGACTTTTAGAGCTGGACGAAGGTAATATATATATATTTTTAAACAATTACTATTAATAAAAGGCGGTTGCGTGTGCTGCCTGGCAGTGCATACAATTATTACAGAAAATACATTATACATGTCAATGTAATATAAATACACTAAATAAATTAAAATTACATGATGTAGTCACATGCATCACACACAACAATTGATTTTAGCACATAACGTACTCTTATACAACACACATATAATTATAAATAAACATCACATGTTTTAATTATAAACAACATATGCGGTGTATAATAAGAAAATATATTATTTGTATATATTATGAGTGCCGAGACAATGCTGAAGTTTTCAAATCAACATTGTAATTGTTTCCCCTTTTGAATTGTTTGATGACTTATTATTAATCTTTTTGTAATTTATTAAAAGTAATAAAAATAAAACAAACACAATTTAAGTAAAGAAACCTTTATTTAAAGTTAGGGGAAACAACTCATACATATTCACAAAATTTAGGTACATGTATTTCATTTGTATTTTAAATATAAATACTATTTAATTCAATCGTCTTTTTATAAAATATATTAATGTTTTTACTAAAAATATCGTATTAAAATAATATTTAAATCAAAATTAAAAAAAAATCAAACAAACCTTAGCTAACTAAAAGTTTTTGCATGGCTAATTTTACTATAAAACACATTGATAAATGTGACAAATTATTTTTTAAAAAGATTCAATATAACTTTTAGTAAAATTTTAAAAGCTACAACGTAAAATGATGATATTTTGGTTAAAGAATGACGATAAATAGTCGGGAAGTGCATATTTATTTCATTCTCTAAATAATAAATAGATAATATTACACAACACAATTGCTATAAACTTTGAATCGATTTGTAGTATCCGATCGACTTTATGAGAGCATAATACATGCTTAAGTTGTGTTTTAAGTCACGAGAAATCTATTTTAGAAAGGTGCGACATTTAAAAATTTTAAATTATAACATAAATATTATACGATCTGTAAATTATATAGAGATTATATATCTTGTGTGGTACCGCTTATTATAACAAAAAATATACTTCCTCCGTCCCAAAAGAAATGTCTTATTGAGAGTTGGCACGAGAATTAAGGAATAATAGTATTTAATTGAAAGTGGGTATAAAGTAAAATTTAAATGACTAAAATGCTCTTACTTTTTGAAGGATTTTAAAGAGTATGTTAGAATAAGAATTATGGGTAGTATGGAAAAGTAGGAATAATTTTGTTATATAATGGGGACCACGACTACTAAATAATCAAACAAGACAATTGTTTTGGAACGGACGAAAATAGAAAAACAAAGACAAATCTTTTGGGACGAAGGGAGTATATGTATATATATATATATATATATATATAAAAGAACTCAAATCATTAAAAGTAAATGTATAATTACGATGGATATAACTACTCAATCCAAGATAATCCTATATTGTAAAATTTCATTTGGACAAATTTGGCTTGACATTCTATCGCCTTCTTGAATTTTTATTTTTATTTTAAATAGTAATATATTTGATATATATATATATATATATTTTTTTGAGTCTTTTGGGTTTTGTATTATTTTTTTTTAAGAATGAAATCTAAAACTTGTTTCGCGTAAAACTAATTAATACCGACACAAATATATTTCATTCACACCCTTTAATTTATTGAAACAATATTCGATTCGAAAATTGAATACGACTGAATTTTTATTACATTTCTCATCGACATTATAAAATATTGTTCCATCATAAAAAAGGGACACATGATTAGTTAAAATCCTTGTTTAAAAACCGTTATACTTTGTCAAACTTGTGACCACATTAAACTAGAAAACAAGAAATCATGAACACATGCAAAGCTCTTTTCACATGAACCATTTTAATAATCTAAGATAACTATTGCATTAACAACTTGCCCTCAATTTATACTTCACCAAACAACTCAACGAATTCAATATCACACGCAAAATACAACCCCCGATATATATACATAAAATATCATGTGTAAATTTTATTGTCAAAATTATGTAATAAATCCTTGTACTCGTACACGATTGAAGATATAATATAAATTTTGTATAAAATCTTTATTTACATGTATATGAATTATACAATAAAATTATTTAAGATATCTTATTCTTTTATGTTAAAAATAGTGATATTACAATAGGGCGTCACAAAAATTATGAATGTTTATTTTATCAGTATGATTTTTACGGTATTATTTCACGTAAAAGTATCAAAATACTTATTTTCACATAGATTATTTTTATTAAGTACGACTTTTTACAATCTACCGTATTTCAATCTTTTCGTATTTACACTCTGTATATTATTATTTCTTAATTGACTTGTATACAACAAATGTATATATTCTTTGTAGATACAAAAAGTATGTTTTTTTAACCTTATTATTATTTGTTGCATTTTGATCATGCAAATGCAACTCAATCACTCTCATGCTTTTCTTGCTTCATCCATCTTCCTATTGACTTCTTTCTCTCTCTACCCCTCTCTCTCTCCATAATTATTAAAAGGGTCCTTAATTTTATCGCGACTTCTTGTAAGATTATCGTCGTAGCGGTGGTTGTGGTTGTCGTTGATTCATTTGTGTTTCTTTGGCATGTGAAATGGTTCGAAGCGCCGGTTATTCGGAAAAGCTCAAAGATCAATGGGAAGAGGAAGAAGAAGACAAGATACATAACAATAACAATAATCATAAAGGGATGTCAGGTAATTGGACAACTATTTCCAAGAGATCAGGTAGAGTTTCTTCCAATTCACATTCTAATTCTTTCTTACATGATCTATATATATATAGGCTGTGGATCCTATGTTGATTCGGTTAAGTATCATGATACTGATTTGACCGAATCAATATATGTTATACATATAATCAGCATATATTTATACATAATGCAACATATACTAAATTATAATATAACATAGGTTGAAATATAAATATATTGAAATATATATAAATATATGTTGATTATTTGTATAGCATAGGCTGATCCATGTCCATATGTATATATTTGATGTGTTATGTTGTAAGAAAATAAATAAATAAAAATTTTAATTGTCGAATGAATTGAAGATAGTAATTGTTTGTTAATTAGCAGTGGCGAGAAGGAACGGAAAAGGTGGCAGAGAGAGGTGGAGTGGTGGCGGCAACCGGGAACCGGATGGGAAGCACAAGAGCTTCACCCCACAGGAAGAGGAACTCGTCATTCAGCTACACGCAGCTATCGGTAGCCGGTAAATGGACATTTTAAATATTTACATAGGCTTTGTTCAAATAATGTTTTTAGGCTAATTGATTTTTGATGTGTGACATGAGAGTTTATGACAAAAGTATAATATATATTATTTTAAATTGAATATTTAATTTTTTTTAAAAAAATTATATATATATTTTTAATATTGTTTATCATTATTTTTTAAAATCACAATTGAGAAATCATGTTGGAAGAACAGAGTGATATATTTATATATAGTGATTATATATTAAATATTTAAAGACATATATTTATATATATGGTGGTTATGAGTATATTCGTTTTGTATTTGTAAGTAAAATTTTTTATTTTTTTTATAGTTAAAATAATAATTTGAAATGATATTTTTTTAATGAAAAATGAGCAATGTTTTTATTGGAAAAAACTTAATAGTAAAAGATATTATTTTTTGGTAAAATTAGTCGTAATTAAAATATTGAAACAAAATTCTAAAAATAAACTTGACCCAATCATAACTATAGCACAAATATGACTTAAAATGCCATAAAAAGTTTTGGTTTGGATATAAATTTTAAACTTTTGATTTTTTTAATAATAAAAATTGAATATTTGATTTGATATTTATTAAATAAAAAAATTATTTTTAATGTAATATCTTACGAAAAAATTATTATTTAGTAAAAAATTTCAAATATATGTAATATATATAATATAAAGTTGTAACAATATATAAACTAAATTATGCAATAAAATTTAATTACGCAGATGGCCTATAATAGCGCAACAATTGCCAGGAAGAACAGAAAATGACGTGAAAACTCTATGGAACAGTAAATTACGAAAAAAGCTATCGGCAATGGGGATCGATCCCGTGACCCACAAGCCATTTTCTCAAATCCTCGCCGATTACGGCAGTATCGGGGCTTTTCCGAAGGCCCGGACCCGCTTCGCCTCGCTTTCTCGGGACTTAAAGAACGCGACTCTAATGCGGCAGTCAAACACGTACCAATTCTCGCCATTGGACAACGCCGAGTCAGAACAAGCGCCGGAGCCGATGGATCAACACTATTCCCTCGACCTCTACTCTCAATTACGAGCCGTAAATCTAGTTGCGGACGCTTCGAACCCCGCCAAGAACGAGCAAATTGCGCAATGTTATTACATGCCCGAATGTGGGCTTCCGGCCGATATATCGGGGCCCGGGTTTAGTTGGAGCGACTTTCTTCTAGAAGACGAGTTTTTACCTGTGCCCGTGCACGAGAATATGGCCCCCGGGGATAAGGGGGCCGTGGTTGTCGAATGTGACGGGATTACTGAGCAGAGTTATGTTCCCGTTGGCGTGGTGGAGAGAGAAAATTATGAGGATACTGGTTCGGATATTTTGAATAATGGGTTCGAGCTCGGTTCGTGTTCGGAAAGTTCGTCTTTTGTGGAGGCTATGTTGGAGAGCCAAGATGAGATGTTTGCTCAACTATCTGGATTCTTTGGAGAACCATTTTACTATTGAATTATTGAAGATTGAATAATGAATAATGATCATCATCTTTAGTATAATTGTTTGTATAATAAACTTTATAAATGTGAGATATTATTTAAGTTTCTAATTGTTTGTTGTTGATACTCCGTTTGTTTTATTTATTTTTTGTTCATTATTTTTTATTTTTATCCGTTCTATGTTATTTGTTATTTTTTTAAAATATAATTATATATTTTAATTATATTTAAATTTTTATAATTTATAATTTTTTATCTTAATTATACTATTTAGTTATTTTAATTTTAATTTATAATTAATTTTATTATACAATAATTATTTTTAATAATATATTTTTTAATTACTTACTAATTATACTTAATCTAAATTCTCGTATATATAATAAATTGGACAAAAAAATTGAAACGAACAAAGATTATTTATTAAAAATATTTTTTTTTTCAATAATATATATATGCTCTTTAAAAAAACATCATATTTCCATTTTTTTTTTCAAAATTTCTATCATATTGGAGTTTAATTCAGCATGTTCCATAGTAATCTAAAAATATGTTTTTTTAAAGATTTTTTGGAGGATTTTTTTGTTATTCATCTCAAATTTATTTTAAAAATTAATATTTTTATATTATATTAAAAATTAATTTTATATTTGAAATATTTATACAACTGTATAATTATTTTAATTCAATGTTTTATTATTTAAAATTCAAATTTAAATTTCAAAAATCTAAACAAACACACCCTATATTAATTTGAGTTTTTAATTAAAATTTCACTATGCTAATTAGTTTATGATTTTCGACTAGTATTTAGGTTGATAAGGGCAAAAAATTTTAGACAAAAAAAATGAGAAAATAAGGGAATTGAGGGAGTCAAATTGAATGGTGAAGAAATATGGAGGACAAAGGATGAAATATTCCTTACAAATATTAAAAGGGTACAATGGTAATTTCAGTTTGATCCGAAGGCTATAAATACATGAGATGAGCGAGTAATAAGGGATTCTTCTTCCCGAAGGTCCCGAGCTCCAGCGCCAATGGCTTTTTACAAACCCTACAGTTTCCCTCAAGTAGTTCCGAGTTCTCCTCCGCTGCCAATCCAAAGCTCTCGCCGGCCTCCGGGCCTCCATCGGTGATGTCACAACATTGTGCGCGCGCCTGCACCCGACCTGTCCTGCGATCGCGCCTTTTTTTTTAAAAAAATAAAAATAATTAGTAACAAAAAATTGTGTATGATTTTGTGGATAGGAATTATATATATCGGTAATTTTGTGCATGTCGCTTTGGCGGAGGAGCTAGATTAGTGCTGAATGGTGAGTTGGACGAGGAAGAAGTGAAAAGGATGAGAAGAATTTTCAGTAATTTGAGCTAAATAAGCGGTTTCTAGGGTTCATGCTTGAAGGTTTTTGTTATTTAGACTTGTGTCACCGGGGAAGAATTTTTAATGCAGATGAATTTGGGTAATGTTAAGAGTTTGGAATTCTAACTGATAAATATTTGGAATGATATTTGCTTGGTTAGATTAATGCTTGTCCAGTGTCCACAGCTTCATAAGGTCACATGTATCGGCACATTTTGATGATCATAGCAATGTTTCCTTGCAAATTGGTGAATATGTTCATCTATTTACAACTAGTTTTTTTGATCGGGTTGTGTATATATATTTGGATGTTGGGTTCTATAGCGTGCTTGCGTAAACACTTGATCTGATATGTTAATGTAAATGAATTGTTAAACTACTACACGGGTTCGAAATATTTTTGCATTAGCGTTGTTCTTCTCTGTAGTCCATTTATTTCATGTCTTTGTATGGTAATTGCACATTTGCTTCTATCCATTTACCATTGATGGGAAGCTTTGTCTTGTTAGAACTGTGGTTATATGGTTTAGTTTGTGCATCTTTGTAAAATCTGCAGGATGGCTTCTACTAGTCTCCGACGATTCCAAAATTTCATATTGTAATATTTCTTTGGTGAAAGAGTCATTGAATTAACAGAAATTGAAGAGTTGTGTGTGGAAGCCAGAGATGTCTGTATAAGAACAAAAATATAGATATTGGCTAACTTGTATAGAATCTTTCACTGATTAAATTTATACGTAGTATGTCGGTATGTTTCTGATTGGGTGTTAAAATCCCAAGTCGGGTTCTGCACTTCTAGCAGCCCTGATTTTTGAATAGATGAAACATCCTCCTATAGTTCTAAATCGTCAATTGTGTAGCGAAGTTTCTGGTTCTGTGCTTAGCTAATGCTGGAGATATTAGTCTTGAAATTCTATTTACATGTCTTTTTGTTGTGTAAGTTCCTTCTTGTCAATATAAAGGCTCGAACCATTTTTGCTGTGTGGTGGTTGTGGCCATTATTAAAACTGAGGTCGGGTGGTTGGGGTTGATCTGTAGGTGACACCACATGTTCATTGTGCGTAAGTTATTTAATTCTTCGAGGACAAATCTCAGGGAGTGGTACATGATGCTGCCTGAAACTGTCTGCTTGAAAATCTAATTCCCCTTTTCTATCTTGGTGTAGGAACAGAGTTGGTTTACAGTTTACACATTCCAAATTGTTGTGCTAATTCAAATGGATATGGATAAATGATTTGATTATTTCTATATATGTTTTAAATGCTACAATGGTTAGATCCACAGTGGTCCAGGATGCATATATGTGTGTGTGTGTAAATTTGGATGTTGAGTAGAAGTAATGATTGAACTCATCATGTTTGTCGACCTCTATTTTCGAATATTATTTCCAAAGTCTTGAAGTGTTTGTTTTTCCTTTACAGGTTGCGTTACTCGTCTCAAAGAAGTATCATCCACCATCCCCTTTTACACTCTGTAGACATGTATGCTACCAGAAGGGATTGATGAGTTTCGTGATTGGATTAACCGTAGCTTTCTTTCGGACATCTTGTTAGTTTGGATATGGTTTGTTTAGGGGCTGGATGTTTTCAGAAATACAAGGCTAATTAAGTGCATCTCTTCAAGATAGCTAGCTTTTGATTCAGGTCCAAATATCTTGGGGCTCCTTCATTAGAATTATTCGAGGTTGCAGAGACAGACTTTGCAGGAAGCTTCTATTTTACATGGAGGCTATACTTGAAGGACTTCGGATATCGCCTATGGCACCGGAGCTTCTCATTCATTTTTCTCAAGTTATTCGATCGAATGCTGGCTGTAAGTGGTAGCTTGTTGATTTATATACTGCTAGCATCTTTGTTTAGCCAAATGGTGATGAATTAGATTCACCATTTTTCCCTGCCTCATGACAAATTTTCGAAAGATTCGATTAGTCGGCCACACTCTTTGCTCTTACATGGTCTACTGATTTTGTGAAGTTGATGGGTAATAGATTTGGGTAAATGTGGTGAATTTAAAGCAGATGGTTGCTTTGGGAAGACACAGGGAGCTGAGTTATTGGATTTATAGCCAACATTGGATCAAGAACCAGTTTTATGGCTGAGATTTAGGCCATTTACTTTAAGGGAAAGATAAAGATAGGGAGTTGGGTCAAATTTTTGTTGAGTATATTCCACCTTGGAAAATGTTGGGAAACCCCGTAGTTTATCCACTTACTATCAATTAGTTTTGAGTTGGAACTGGAATTCTTTATTAGATTCTAAGGTGTTATTAATGTTTATAAATATTAGACAAATTTTAAGCTTGAATCAATATATTAAATTTTTAATGAATAATAACAAAGTTGTACTTTGAGATGAGATGTATGCAGGCAGGTTTTGCAAAAGTGGAAGAACAACCATTGAATGTGCTGCAGCCAAGTTTGTGTTAATTATAGCAGGTAAAGTTATTACACTATCTGTCACAATAATTGGATCTTTGTATTATATGCATTATCACACACAAATATATATATATATATATGATTTCTTTCTTTATTATTATTAATCTTTGAAGAAAAGGGAGAAAATTTTATTTGTTTTTCTTAAGATTGATAAAGTGTGTTGTCTGCAAGTTTGTGATGGGCTTTGTTTATAAAATGTTTTGGCATGTTCTGCATGATTGGAAGGTTTGGCAGGCCGAAGGCATGATTGATTTCGAATCGGGGGATTTTTAAAATTTTGATTTATTGCTTTTCTATTTTATTGTTACATTAATTTTATAATAGAATCCCATTAATTTGGACAAAGTTTAATTACACACTGGCAAAACGTTTGCTGAATGAAAATGTGGTTTTTATGGTTTGGTACTGATATTGATGCAGTAAGTACTACTGTCTTGATGTGATGTGGCAGGGTACAGCTATTGAAGCGGTGAGTACAATCACATGTATGACGTGGAAGAAACCAGTTTGGTCCATATTTTGACTGAAGTCTCCCTCCGCACCCAGCGCATTTTAGAAGTAAGCCCTCGTCAACAGATCTGTAGTCATTTACAGAGTCTTGTCCCTTTCCCAAATGCTAAACCCCATACTCCTCCTACCCTACCCTACCCCCCTCCCCCCCAGCCCAGAGCCTGAGTATATCTTGAATAAAGGGTATCTATCTCTCTCCTAGCTCTCCTTCCCATTTCATCACTTCAATGGCACACCAAATCAGCCACAGGCGCATCTTAGCAGCTCCACAACCCCAAGAAACAGCCATGGATCCCACACCCAAAAGGCACCCTAAACCAAGCCCCTCCACCACCACCGCCGCCGCCGCTAAACACCACCTCACTCACCCCCTCCCAGATCCCACCACCGCCACCACCCCTCCCTCCACCATCCAAACCATATCCCATCGCTTCTCCAAACTCTGCACCCATCACAAGCTTCTCCCTAATTCATTGAAGCCTCATTCCCAACCCAAGAACCTAATCTTGGACTCCTCTTGCTCCACTTTGACCAAATCAAGCAGCCAGAAAGAGAGAATCACCACCCTCCATCCAACCCTAGCCAAAACCAAAAATGACAACAACAACATCGTCAAGAAGCCATCTTCCAAGAAATTCCTCAAGAAACCATCCTTTGAGGAGTCAGATGTCAAGAAATCATCCCAATTATTGTCAAGGAGCATGGACAGTGAAGGGGCAGTGGTGAAGAAGAAGGGCTTTGAAGAAGGCCCTGAGATGAGAACAGGAAGGATCTCTCTCTCTCTATCATCATCGATCCCTCCTGCAGTCAATGGAGGGAGAAGAAGGTCATTCTGCAACTCACAGGTTGAGTTGAATGACTTCTTGTCTTGCAGTGGTGTCAAAGTTGTGGCTGTTGATATGCCCCCGTTTATGCAGATTCATGCTGTCGATTGTGCAAGAAAAGCTCATGATAGCCTCGAAAAGTTCACATCCAAAACCCTTGCTTTCACTCTCAAAAAGGTACTCTCTAATTTCCCATCGCTTCAGTTATACATAATTATCATCATTCATTACATCTTTCCAATTTGCTAATTCTTTTGTCCTAATCCCCCTTCCCTTGCAATTAAATTACTTATCAGTTTCGTTATCAAAAAAAAAAATAATAATAACTTATCAATTTCATCCAAAGATGATAGGAAAAATTGCTTTAGACCCGTATTTGGTTTGGAAAGTCTGCATATCATTAAGAATGTTCTTTTTTTTTTTTTTTTTTTTTTTGGGTTGTGTTTGAGTTTTGAAAATTTAAAATTTAAATTAGAATAGATGTTTGATGCTGTATAAACAGGTGCTTTGATAATATTTTTAATATAAAATTAATGTTTAAGAATAACATTAAAAAAGTTAAAAAAAATGGTATTTAATTTGATGTAATGGGCGAAATTTTGGAGGAATAATAGAAATCCTCGTAACAAGCATTAGTGATTTAGAAAACATTGCATAGAATTCTTTTTGCTTTTGCTATTTTTATGCAATATTTTTTAAAATAAAAAAGACCTGATCTGTTTAATATTTTCTAAAATGCAACGGATTTCATTACGTTCAATATTTTCGAAAACAAGACAATCTTCCGTAATTTTTAAGAGATTTTGGGCAATGTTTTTTAAAGGGCGATTGAAGAAATATAGGTGCAGACTTTCCAAATTAAAATAGGGGTGAATTATAAGCAATTTTTCCAAGATTATATGATTATTGATGCCCAAGAATCAACCTTTTCCTTGCCCACATGTCATTGATTAGATAGATATTTATTTGTAGGGCTTTATCCCATCTTCTTTTTGCAGGAATTTGATGGGGTATATGGACCTGCTTGGCACTGTATAGTAGGGACTAGTTTTGGTTCATTTGTGACACATTCAGTGGGTGGATTTATCTATTTCTCTATGGATCATAAGCTATACATCCTTCTCTTCAAAACCACTGTACAAAGAGCTGAATGAACCCCCCCCCCCCCCCCCCCCCACCTTATAATAACTCTTTGTATTAATAATTTTAAAAATAAAAAAGAAAAAAAAAGGAAAGAATTCACCTGAAGATTACTTCTTGTGGTGATTTATTTCATTTAGATCTTGGGGAAAAGAATGGATGGTGATGGCCTTCACTGTAGCTTTTGTACATTTATTTATATGAGAAAAAATTTGTATGAAGGCCTTTTTGAGGTAAGTTTAGAGAAGGGAAAGATTTGGGGATTTTGAGGATTTATTGTATTATTAGTGAATCTTTTTTTTTTTTATTGCCATCACATGATGTGTTTATAGATTTGTTGGTAAATTTGTTATTTTGGAAATTGGTAATGATTTTGATGAATGTGTTGGTGAATTCTTGGACATTAGAATTTGATTGATGATGATGATAGGATTATTGTTTGGCTTTGATGTTTTTGTTTTTGTGTGTTTTGTAAGGTTCTTTGGCTTTTTGCACCTTTGCTTGTTTGCACTGTCTTGGTTTCGATGATAAGTTGTTATTTGAGCCGGGTTGAATCGAGTGTCTTACTTTTGTGTTCGGTTTTAGGTTTTAGACTTAAATTTAGGCTCGTATTATATATGTATTCTTAGGGGTGAATATTGGGCCGTTCAAATCTAGAAAATCGAATTTTTTTTTCCTTTTTCGGTTTGGACTATTTTGTTTGGACTGTTCGGTTAATTGGTTCTGTTCGGTCCAAAATTGAATTTATAAATTTCGGTTTTGATTTAGTTATGGTTTAATAAAAATTTATATATTCTTTTGATTTTATGATAAATTTGAATGAAATATTTTGTGAGGGAAATAAGTCTAAATAATTTCAAGCTTCGAATGATTTATTTAATTTGCATTTCGTGGCTTTGAAAACCAATGATACTTGTTAAAATAAATAAATAAAAATTATTATTATTATTATTATTATTATTATTTAAATGAAACTAATAAGTTGGTTTGTTTGCTTGTATTATGGAGGACATTGAGATACACTTTTTGTCACTATTTATAAATGTTGTTATAATTCTTGACACAAATGGGGACCAATAAAATCAAGCAAAAAGGTATTTTGAATCATTAATCAACTAAAAGGGAATAAGCTTTAAAGTGTGGTATTCAATTAAATAATTAAAAGTTAAATTTTGTCTAATAATTCCAACATTCAATAATGTACTTGAATATGATTTTCAAGCTAATGTATCAAAAAATAATAATTCAATGCATATAGTTCAATAAAATTTTAATATTATTAAAATATATTTCGGCCGTCAATTTAGAGAGTAAGTATTTGGAATTTAATAAAAATTGTATTTTAACAATAATCAGCAGTGATAATTTTGGTAAGTAGAAATTATATTACCGTATAAGTCATCTCCAACCCTTCACTTCATTTTTCAGTTGCTACAGTAAAAAAAAAAATGCAGTTGATTTACAGTAATTTTACTCTAACCATAAACTTCAATTTTTACTCTCAAACGTATATTCCTTTGTATTCCTCTTTTATATTATTTTATATAACTTTTCATATTTATAAATTACACTCCAACTTTAATTTATTTTTACATTAGATCCATACACATATAATTTATAAATTATTTAAAAATTACATATATAGAAATTAACATTTAAAAAATAAAATTATATATTACTTTCCAAAATTTAAAATTATATCACTTTTAAAAAATAAAATTATACATTATTTTTTTTTAAAAAAAATAAAATTATATACAACTTTTTAAAATATAAAATTATATATCATCTACTAAAAAATTAAAATTACACAATACACCAACAAGATACCAAAAATATAAAAAACACCACAAAAACTCCACTCTAAAAATAGAAATAGAGTGGAGTAATACTGTGGATTCCTGCAAAAATAGGGGGAGATTTGGGGGTAGGTTGGAGCCCCTCCCCCCATTTTTGGTACAACCCACTGTAGTGGGTTGGAAATGATCTAATTAATATGAAAACGTATTTGTAATGTGTGGTTGAGTTATACATACGCGAAAAAAAATAAAAAAAATAAAATGAATACTTCGTGTTTGGACAAAAAAAAAAAAAATTAAAAAATATATATATATTAAGGAATTTTTTGCTAAACTTACCGGTAAATTAAAAGTATTTTATTATGATTTGAAATTAATTTAAAATAAAATATTGATCGTGTATATATTGTATTTTATTAATATTTATAAAAAATTATATCTCCAGTAGATTATTAAGGAACAAACCCTGTCGTTCCTAAATGTTTTTTATGATCACTTTTGCCATAATTTTTTAAATAATATACTTCTTTCAGTCCACTGTCAGTATATATATTTGTATTTTAGATTGTGTAATTATAAAATAATCAATTTCAAAATATTCTATTATTTTTTAATAAATATCTATGCTTAATCATCACATTGTTAATTTTATATGAAAGAGTAAAAATAAAATTATTTTTACACTACTTTTAATTATCAACTACAAATAAAATATTACTTCCTCCGTTCCAAAAGTATAGTCTCATTGTATTGGGCACGAGATTTAAAGAATATTGATATTATATCGGTAGTTGCCTTATGAGTATATTAGTACGAAGTAGTGACAATTGTGTAATAATAATGAAAAAGTAGAATTAGTTTTATGGTGATATGATTATTTATGGAAATGAGACTATTATTTTGGGACAGACAAAAATAATAAATAAAAGTATTGTATGGGGACGGAGGGACTGTTACTTTTTAAATTACACAGCAAAATAAATATTTCTATTATAAAAGGCAAAAATTAACCAAAAAAAAAATGTCAATAGAAACACCACACATTAATATTTATGTCGAAAAGTTTTGAACACATTTTGGTGTAACGAAAGGAGTAATATATATATATATATATATATATATCTACATTTTCATATTTAACAATTAAGCCAATATAACATTTGGGCAAAGCCCACTATTCAATTAAGAAATGGGCCCGGCCCATTGGGCTTAAGAAATAAAAGATGGATAAAAATGTTGGGCTTTTCCGTGTGTATTAATATGTTTTTTTTATGTATAGTATGGAAAATTGTGTTAAAAATATAAATATATTACTCACTCCGTCCCATAACAAAGTATCTATTTTTTCATTTTAGTCCATCCCATAACAAAGTATCAATTTCCTCTTTTAGTAACCGTAGTATCTACCTAACATTACAAATACCTTTACAACTTACAATATGTTACACAAATGCCATTACCAAATATCACACATACTAATAAGGTTATTTTGGCTATTTCTACTTTATTCCTACTATATCCTAATATAATACTAATATTTCTAAAACTACGTGCAAAAAGCAAATAGATACTTATTTCTGGGACGGAAGGAGTATTTTAACTTGAATATTTGAATCTTTTGATTTTTTGTATTAAGTATTTAAAGTTATTTTTTGAATTTATTTTTGTGTATAGTATAGATAATTTGTAAAAAAGTATAAAATATTATTTTTGGGGAATCGAAATTCTAAAAAAACCCTTATTTTTATAAAGTTTTGATACTATTTATGTCATTAATATTTTATAAAAATATTACACAATATTTTTCATTTAAATCATTAAATTAAAATTTTATTATTTATTCAATTTACAAATATTATCAATTTTTTTCAAAACATCCCAAACTCATATCTAAATAAAGTTTGTAGTTGCATCATTGATTTGTAAGTGTTCCTTTGAGAATGCTAACTGCATTTTTTTTTTTTTTATTGATTCACGTGTTGATATGTTGATCTATGGTCATTTTTTATTTTAGTCGAGTACTCTATGGATGTGTTTGTTTGGGGATTGGATTTTAAATACATTATTCATTTATTTTTTCTCTTAAAAAAATCAAATTAAATACATATTTTTTATTTTTTTATATTATACTAAAAATAAATTTTACATTCAAAATATCACATCAACACCTATTTATATCACATCATATAATTATTCAAATTCAAAATTTTTAAACCCCGAACAAACACGCCCTACATTTTTTGTCGCTGTCTATGTACATCAGTGTTTGATAATTAATATGACTGGAGTGTAGATGTTCCTTATTCTTGCCGATAAATTTTATATGTTAGATTACTTTGATTATCTTAATAGTAATGTAGTTCAATATATTTATATAATTCAATAAAGTTACAACATAACTGAATAATTTAACAAGTAATTATATTTTTACATTTTTTTTTAATTTTTTATTTCATACTATTTAAATATATGATTTTAAAATGCACTTGTGATCCATTCTATATTAAATGTGCAATTATTTGTCCTAATCAAGAAATTATTAAAGAGAAAGAAAATTGCTATAATGGCTTAAAGGCAATAATAATAATAATAATAATAATAATAATAATAATAATAATAATAGCACATAGCCAATCAAAACTCGACATTTTGTCAAAGAAAAAAGTCACTAAAAAAGTTTATGATTATCTTTAAAAAGTGCATAGAAAAAAAAAATAAAAAATTGTACTTACCATTATCCTCCAACCATTGCTTTACAAATGAAGAAGAAAATAAAAGAAGTTATTTGAATAATAAAGCTTACATGTAAAACAAATCTAAATGTATATTTGATTTGTGATTTTTTTTATTATAATATTTTATAAAAATGAATAATATATTTTATAGAATACAATAAATATTTTATTTTATTTTTCTCAAAACATAAATCATATATTATATTTATTTATTTATTTTAAGAATTGAGCTTAAGTCATGCCGACAAGATGACACCCCACAAACAATGCTAAAGTAATAATAATAATAATAATAATAATAAATAAATAAATAAATAAATAAATATTTATTTATTAATAAAGCATTAAAAGTTTACTAATGCTTTAGTGATAGTTTATTCACAAGTGTTGCCAAATATCGATTAATAAATTAAATAGTGATAAATTTCTTACCACCATTTTTTTAAAAAAAAAAAAAAAGTAAAAACAATGACCTTATAATGCTTTTCAAGTATTGCTAATCTAC